TAACCAAAGATTAGTCACATGCCCAGTGTTAGCTAAAATATGTCAGCTGGGAAGCAATGACTTTAAAAAAGCGTGATTAAAGAAGTGCAGGATATCTGATCACTTGCATTCTGTTGTAGACTGAGTGCTGAACACCAGTGCTGGTATTTGCAAAGTCATTTACATCTTTTTTATTTTTCTTCTGTGTTTTCATATGCTTTCTATGCACAGAAAGCTTGAGTATGTTTTCTGATACAAAAAAAGTGGGTATGAACAGCTCTTGCTCTAGTTTTACTTCCCCATAATGAAGACCATGGTCTTAAATACACTATAATTATGAAATATCTCAAAAAAAAGATCTTCTAACAAATTAGGTTTTGTCCACAAATACTGAGATTTAGCACATAGTAGAGCTTATGTTTTGGAATGGGAGGCAAGGAGAGAAAAGGAAAGAAACAAAAAACACTGCTTTTCAGTGAAGTACATTGGAATTATTACTAAAAAACATGTCTCCATAAAGGAGAATCAGTGTTGAATATGGAGGGTTAATTAAGTGCCATTCAGCCTAAGAACTTTTATGACATATTAAAATATGCGCTAGAAAAGACTGCAACAGTGTTATTTTCTTAGTATTCCCTAATAATGCCACAAAACACTATGCCAGACAGTCAGCTGCTCTGTTGTCTAGAAAAATGGCATATTGCTAATTGCAAGCGCCGCAAGCCAAATTAAAAAGTAGGTTTTCTGGTAGTGGGAAATGTTAGAATATGGTCTCATAAGCTTTGTTTCTTTCTTATTACTTGAGATGGAATTGAAATTCTGCAGATAAAATTATACTGGTTTCATCAACTATGAATATGTATTTTCCAAAATATATGGCTATGAACATATGGATCATATTTTTAATGCATATCTCAAGTTTAAGAGTTATTAAAAGTCATCTGTTTTGTAATATTTAAACTATTTTCAATGTTGAAACTCTACTTCTTAGACATGACATTTTCCACTAACATGCACAGTGAATTGCGTGGGTTTTATGATTGCCAAAGAGAATGAACTACAGTGAGGATGAGCTGATTGGCTTTGCACATTTATTGTTTCTACTGGCATTTGCCTTATCTCCTATAAGAACTTCTTCCTTGGACATTTCCTTGTTCTGAATTTTTTGGTATGGTTTTTTTTTTTTTTTTTTTTTTTGCCATGTTTGTCTCCAAGTGGAAAAGGAGATGCTTTGCATTTGTGCAGAATGATGAATCATTATGCAGTTTCAAGTGTATCACCTCTTAACCAAATAAAAGAAGCCTTATTTTCCTCAGCATCTTTCCTTCTAAAGTCTTGTCTAAGTTCCATTAGAAATGGTCACCAATGATCTCCAAGAGAATGACAGAATTGTTCGAATACTCACTGGACTCATGTGAATAGCACCTGAGGAACAAATTGCATGCATGGCTTTAGCTCATCTGTGGATGTCAAGTTTTCTGAGTGCTGCTATACTGACCTGGGCATATTAAATGACCAGATGCATACTGTCCAGTTCTGCTTTTCTAAATATTCTGGTCATTACAACTATTTACTGCTGAACTGCTGTACCATATATATAGATTACTTCTGTGTGCATATTTAACAAATGAAATTCTCATCACTTTTTGGATTGAAACAGCAGCTGGAAAGTAGGTTTGCTCCTGCTCCAGAGCTAAAACTAAACATTTACACAGAAATATGTAGATGACTTTTGAAGTACTGAAAGCAGAACAGAGTACCAGATGGTAGGAATAAAACCACCAAAGACCACCAGAGCTATACCAAAACAATTCAGTGTGGATACAAAATGACTTGTGTTTGCGCCTGGTACTCATAGCAGTCTCTCTCAAATGAGAAGAATCAAATTGCTTATACTACGGTGTAGGTAATAATCTCTACTTCTGTAGTTCTTAGCGAAATTTCCAATGCTGTGTTGCCTTTTCCGAACTTCAAAAGTCACAAGTAGTTGCAATATATTGCTTCAGTGTTGAACAAACATTCATCAGTGTGGATGATGAAGAATAAGTCCTTTTATAGGACTGATGTATGAGTTAGGATATTTGCATAGCACAGACAAGCTGTGATAGGGCAGATACTAGAAAGTCCTTGCCAGACAAACCAACAAGTTTTTGTGACAGTGGGTGCCATGTCTGACATACAAGGGCAGAGACAGCTAGGATACTCTGAAACCATAGCCAGGCCTGGGATATGGGCGTTGCTCACACATCATGTACCCAGCAGACCAGCACAGACATTGCCCTGGTACCTTCATCACAACATTAGCAGGCACGGTAAGAGTGCAGAAATTGTTGTGGTCTTAAATTATGACTGGAATATACCACAGTAAGTGATTAGTCCAAATCCTTATACCTACCTTTCACTGTCGTGTGATAGTCCAGGCAAGGTTCTGCTCAACTTTAGGAGAAGGATGGGGGAGAGTTGCCAAGTCAGCTTCAATAGGACAAAAATTTTTGACACGTATTGTATAGAATTACTGCTGGTCAGTGCTATACTGGACCAACATGTAGATGATTGCTAGGCAGATTTGTTTTGCTAGGTAGTCCCATGTTTAGCACTCTATGCATCAGACCTGAGACTCTGGGAAGGAGGGACTGCCACACCATGCCTCATTTGTGTGCACATGGGTGTGCTATAAAGGTGGAACAAGATCTCCACACCAGCCCTGACATGAGGCCTTCTCCCATGAGAGCATAATGGGAGATTCCTCTCCCGAGAAGTGATGTCCCTGTGGGTCAACCTGTCTGCTGGGGTGTTGCGGGGTGCGCAGCAGGAGCCTGCACTCATGGAGTTATCAGCCAGATTACTTTTATGATATCCCTGATCTCCAAAACCAAGACAACACGAACTATCTGGGAATTTGCCCTGAACTGAGCTTCTACAGGACGCTGCAGCTATAAAACCTTTCCTCCTTGCACTGCAGCCATTAAAGTGCTGGTCTGAAGTAAGTGGGAGCAGGACACAGGCCTCTCAGGGAGAGCTCTGTAGCCACCTGGCCCTGACTGCCTCCTGTCATCCATTTCCACACAGGAAGCAACCAGCCCTCTGTGTCCTACCCCCAGACTAGGGTGTTCTGTACAGCCCTCCGTGGTCCTACCCCCCTCCTACCCCACACCCAGGGAACTTAGCACTGACTTTGGGCTGCTATGCCATGTATCCCACTTTGCAGGCCCTCTTATCAGAGACATAAAAGGATGAAGGCTCATACTACATGACTCACAGTAGTGGCTCTGCACATGGATTTTTTGCTCCTTTGAGGGAAGGAAACAAAGGTGGCTCTAGTAAAACACATTCCATGACTTTCTGTTTTGGTTAAAGCCATTGTGTAACTACTGCTCGTACTTTCTGTAGTCACATTCCTAAGGCTGCAAACACAATAGAAGGCAGATAATTTTTAAGATGAAAGGAAGACTTGACAACAGGTTACAGTAAAGCAAGAGAAGCTAAAAACATTGACAAATCACTCTTTTGTTACAAATTATCAGCCTTAAGCTTGGCTTGACATAAACCTGTTTTTGGTTTCTAAATGCAGGCTAATAAATTGTTACAATAATAATACGCTTTCTCCAATGCAAGGTGAAAGAAAAACATGTTTTCTAAGGGTTGTCATACCCAACTAGCCATGTTTTCTTTTATTAAAAAAGACCTTTTTTTTCTTCACTGGCGAATTGCCATCTTCATGTTTAAAGCAAAATACAGGGATGGAATAGATGGCAGTATTTAAAACATGCAGATGAGCTCCAGAAACTTTCTAAGGGCATTAGGATAGCTAGCTGCAAAGAAGGTACTATTTATCTTAAAAGTCACTGGGTAATGCGTAACATATACAAAACAAGAGGTACAAAGTCAACACTTTTACCCTTGTAGTTTGGAATTAGAGTTATTTTTTATAAGATTTTCTACTACTTAACTTCCAGGAAAAGACACTGTAACAAACAAATTCTTTAAGCCTTCTCTTTTATCTCCCATTTTCTATGTATGTAAAAAAGCAAGATATGTAGAAAAGCAAGATATTTTCTTGTTTGTATGTTTTTTTAATCATATGAGTGCAAGAAAACTAAGATAGATGAAAGAGAGAAATGCTAACCCTCTTCTTTCAGAAAAATTCCTGTTTCTATAGACTGATATATTTTAGAGTTTTAAAGGAACACAATGATTATCTAGTCAGAACTGCCCAACAGGCTGTAAAACTTCACCAAGTAATCTCTCCATCAAACATGTAACATCTGTTTGAGTAATTGCATACCTCTTAGAAAGATAGCCAGCCATGATTTAGCGGCTGTAAGTGATGAAGTTCTGCAGCCCTTACTCAGGATTTGACTCAATGAAAACATTGGCATAATATGTTCTGGCTGTTAGGTTTGGAGGAACAGAAAGAAATATCTGGCTTTAAATAGAGCCTTGTTTGAAATCTCTATGAATAAACTCTACAGAATTTAAAACAAACAAAAGAGAATGCATCGTAGGAATACTTTTGCACCACCTTCTCTCTTGTGAGGATATAAACCCACTTTCTTCAATTGTTTTTCTTGGGCTCTGGCAAAAAGATGAATCCTGCAGGTGGATCTCTTTGATTTAAACTGATTTAGTTTTCCAGTTTGGTGATATATAGAAATAGTTTCCAGTACCCTGTATGAAATATAGCCTAGTCTTGCTTTACATCTGGTATTTCTCCATCTTCAGTATCCAATTGTAAAGCTGCTGAATTAGAGCAGAGGCATCAGTTTTGGTTGTGACAAAAGTTCTCTCATAGGTGCCACAAGAATTCAAACTTCTGTATACTAGTGAGATGTCATGTATTCAGAGTTAATAGCACCACAAAATGTAACTGAATGGTTCTCATACAGATGCACACAGCCTTTGTGGCAGAAACAAGTTTCAGGAATTCTGTTCAATGTGTTTGCACATACAGCAGAAGTTTTATGAATATACTTGTTAAATGTGATAAAGAAATCTGACACACATGCATAGTTAAAAGATGGTATTTTCCAAAGAGACGTGAATACTGTATATCCACAAATTTTTTCAGTGTGAACCTCTGCTTGTATGCATCTTCAAAGAACACACTGCCAGAAATTGTGTCCTTTTTCAGACGTATTAATGATAGAAAACAATTCCAGAATATCATAATATTGCCAAAATATGCTTATGTTTGTAACCTTTTTTCCTGTTGTAGTGAACATTAACCACGTATAAGCACTCAAATTACAGTAGCTCTGCATTTTGAAATAACAAAAGTTTCCAATGTTCATTTACACCATCTGATATAGGAATAGATTTTGCTTACGTCCAGTGGTGTCCTGCTATTGCTTGAATTGACTGTCACAGCTGAAGGTCATTGAATCAGTGCCAATACAATCAGATGAAACACTGGAAAACTGCTTTTAAAAAAATCTTACCTTCATAAAAACAAGCACAAACTCCTGAAAAATGTAAACTTTGAAAAGAGAAGCTAAGGCTTGTCAGCTGACTAAGCAGCCTTCAAAGTTAAACCAACAGAAAAAGCAGTCATAACATTTGCACACCTACATAAAGCAGGTTAGTATTTTACTTTGAGACTTTAAACAACTTGGTTCATTTCCTCACTCAGTTAGAAACTTCCTGTGTGACTTTGGATAAATTGTTTAGGACAAGGTTTTTGAAGGTATGTAAATATACACTTAGATGTGCATTGGAGTATTTGCTACAGATTCTCTTAACTTACAGGCACAGAAAATGGGCGCATGACAACCTTTACAATTATCTTCAGTATTTTTCCCAAAGGCAGCCTGTTGATGACTAGGGATCCACAGCCATATGAATCAAGGCTATCACATAATATTAACAATATTTTTCATTTTAGATTTTGATGATAAAGTAGCATATATCTCTGAGAACTGACCGTGCTGTAATATAGAAATAATTGTACCTCCAGTAGGAGCTGTCAAGTAAACACATTGTAAGACAGACAGAGTATCACAATGGAGCCTTTTTTCAAGGTAGATTAAGACAAGGAAGAAAAAGATGCATTTACTTGCATAAAGAAAATATGTTTGTTCTGTAACTTGCTGTCCCTATTTTCACAGTTCATCAGAGCAGGAAGAAGGAATTCATTTCAATTCTCACATAAAAACATAAATTAGATAGGGCAGGGTTTCTTATGCCAGTAATTCATAGTGTGTAAGTAATAGACATCACAGTGATGAATGTTGCTCAGTATCTCCTACAAGGTGCTCAGAACCTCAGAATTAGAACAGAATTTTTATATTAGTTTCAGGGTTGATTCTGCAATGCAAAATTAAATGAGTCATCTGTAATTTATGCAGAATTCCCTTGAAACCAAGAGGACTAATTACATCAAAAAATCCCTCAGGTTAGAAGGAGTTGAACTCACCTCTACGAGGGCACAGTTGGAAGGCACTACTGGTTTTTATTTATGATGGCTTAAAAGCAAAATCTGGCTTGAGGATTCTCTTGATTTGAGAAGGCTGGAAGGGATGTTGAGGGAAAGAAACCCTATTTCTAGATCAAGAACTTTTCATTTTTACCTGCTACACTGGACCAGCAAGACAACCAAGGATCATTATACTAGCAAAGTGAACAAGACAGATACTATAAACAGATCGCTGTATGCAATTTAACAGTTTAGTTTTGTTATACTTTTTAGTATTGTATAAATACATTTATTTCTTACACTAAGAGACAACAAAGTTTCCTGCTTCGAATTATTCAACTATGGTTAGTCCACTTTATTGCATTTAAATGTGCTTTATTCTTTTCTTCGATCAGACTGGCAGTGATCGCTGAGAGCATTCAACCAGAACAGTCTCAATAAAAACTAATCATAAGCTCCTGTGAGTTTGAGCATGGGGATCTGGGAAACTCAGTAACAAATAAAACATATTTCTAAACATTTATGTTTACAAGAAAAAATCCAAGGCCTGAACAATAAGTTAATAAATTGACATAGTTATCTACTGTTCAGATATAAAAATCGTGAAAACTTAATTTATATATTGCTATGGCAGACATGACAAAACTGAACAACTATCCACTGTCATAAGTGGTACTTCAAGATTTCCAAAAGAAAACTTATATTTTAATTTTCTGTTCATATATAGCCAAGAGTAAGAGGCAAAGCCAGCCTAATAGTAATCCAAGGTTCTGTAGAAGAAACATCAACCAGGGTCGCCGTGTCTGAATATGAGTCATTTCAGGAAGCTAAAAAAAGAATAAGACACCAGAATGAGAGCCAGATATATTCATCTCTGGGAAAAAGTCTTATGGGAAAACAAGACAAACTTCATTTAAAAAGTCTTTCAAAACACTGGGTTTCTGAATGCAATTACTAATCTGTAGCACGTTCTGTACATTGTAACAACACGGATCTTGACATTAAAATACTTAGATTAATAAAATTCTGTCCGTTTTTGTTCTTTCACTACCACCAGCAAGAATAGATGAGATTCCAAAATTTGTTAATAGTAATTTTGGTCAGCTGTCTGTAAGGAAATTCTTATTTATTAAAATTAGTGATTCCCTTTTGTGGGAATAAACTACTTTGAGTTATTTTGTTTCTGTACTATATATAGGGTCAATCCTGCTCCTACTGAAATAACTGGCAACTCTCCTACTTACTTGGGTTCTAGGAAGCACATAACTACTATACAAAACTGAATTATCACTGAAAGTTTTAAATCAAGTAAAGCAGCTGCATCTATTTATAATCATATTAAAAGTTACTTACACACTGACCTTCCACCCTACGTGATCTCTTTTATCAAAGTTTTAAACAAAATATATGTCTTGATAGAATCTGTGGAAATAATGCCTTAGGCTCAGGCTCTCAGTATTTATGTTTTGTGTTACTGACATCAGGAGTGATACTAATGACTGCTGATATTTTCATGTCCACCTCTGGAAATAGAGCCATGTCCTCGTACAACACTTTTTAATATTTTGTCTATTTCATGTGAACTTCAAAACAAAATAAAATCTGTAAAAAAAAAAAAAAAAGTAGTGAGCTGTCCGGACACCTTCCCATCATATTGCAGCCTGTGTTGGAATGAATTCACTCATTTCCCTTGCACCCTCAGAGACTCCTCCCATGGGCACTGTCTCCTCTGGAAGCTGATATGGGCCCAAATGAAGTCTTTAGAGTGAAAAGTCTGCCTCTGCTTTAAAGGTTTGCATTAAAGTAACAGGCAAACCCAGAAATCCTAAATCTTTGCAACAGCCAGGCAATGGTTTAGATTACGATACAAATTCACATCTTAAAAACTCATATAATTATGTTTAATATATTTTTAACAGTCATCAGCGATATTTAAGCTGGAGGAAATGCAAACACTTCTGATGTAAATCAAAATCTGAACTGACAACACATCAGTGTTCAGAACGTGTTTTTTGTTTTGTATATAAATAAAAACCAGGCAGAGGGCAGACACAAAAAAAATCTCTATATTGCTCATAAAAAGCTGCTTTTCAGGGGATTTAATTTTGGTAAAACAACATCTAAAGCCATGATGTTACAGGTTTTGACTTACATGTATTTCTTGAAGCCATCAATTTACAGTGTAATATTTCACTGGAGCATACAGTCACAAGACAAAATGCTCCTCCCTTCTGCCCTCCCTGATGTCTATGAAGATAAAATTTTGCAAAATTCCTTGGGTAAAATGATGAAGGCTATAAATCATTTTATCCCTTGCCCTACACCCCAGGTTTTTAATTGATTAGTTTACCCTGATTGAAAATGGAGCCAGAATACCATTTTTAGATACAGAAGAACAGAAATAATTTTGCATGTTCTACTGGTGCAGCAGTCTCACAGTGCTGTCCTGTCAGTGAGCCTCCATCTCCTATCCATCAGTGTTCCTCAGTGCAAAAATCAGTGAGGCTGTTCCATCATGTCCCACATTTAACCAATACAGGAAGTATGTGAAAGCTCAGAAAACAGATTCTTAAAATCATAGTTTTGCACAACATTAGGTATTTGTACACCTTTGTCAGGAACACTTATAATTGCTGTTTTTGAATGAGAACACAACAGTGAATAGAAGTTACTCCTGTGAAGAAAATTGAAAAACATATAAAGCACTGCAGATTTTCTTTTGAGATGGCCTATGCAAACACCTGAAACTTTTCAGATCTATAGATTCCCTGTGATATTCAGTGCTTGCACTTCCAGAAAACCCAATGGCAGTTCTTTTGACAAAAGCAGAGAAAAGCTGGTTGGAATACCTCTTGTTCATAAGAGGAAGGTGAGAGAAATAAGATTCTCCTCTTTCTCTCTTCTTCTTTTACTCACATCGCGGTTATGCAGTCAAGAACAAGTTAAAAATATGGTGTTGTTAGAGGAGTTTGATCCCTGATAGATTCTGATCCTGTGCTAAAGGAAAAATGTGACTAAGCCCTTAGCCATGTTATTAAAATCATGCCTACTGAATTGGAAGGCAGCATAACTTCCAAATTTCTCTGTCAGAACGAGATGCAGCTATGCAGCTTGGTACACAGTGTTCTTGTCTGTTATTCGCCACCTCGATCCAGACAGCTGATACATCCACAGTCCTTCATCAGCTCCCTCATAAGCTCTTGGGAGCATTTTATGTTCACATTACTTCTATTATAGTAGGAAAAAATGGACTGAAATACACCCAAGGTCTAAGGTCAAGGACTACAAGCAGATTTTTAAATAGATAATAATAATGACATGGCATATCAGGTTTCAAATATTACTCTTGAACCTGGCAAATTATATTATAGGCACTAGGTGGGGAGTGGTAGTAAACAGAACAGAGACAGTCAGGCTTAAGAAAAGCACAGTAAAAATTCATAAAGAGAGAAAACTCCTTTTTTCCCCTCTGAATCTAATGACATAGTAAGGCCAGTCTTTGTTCAGAAGCTTGCAAACAACTTTACATTAATATACATTAGCTAAAAAGCATGACATTTTGAATTACAGTAAGCTGGAAAGGTAATTAAGTTCTGTGTTGTTATGAGTGTAACATTTAGCCACCTCTTCAATAAATGATGCGTCTTGAGGCACCTTCATGAATTATGACTCCATAACATTCTTCCGCAGTCCTTAGACCTCTCTCTCATAATGTGTTTTCACATTTTTTCCTATAGTTAGGTCACTGCTAGTGAACTAGAAGTATGAAAAATGATGGGGATTATGAGACAATCTAATGGGTTTTGAATTGCTAGGAACTCACGCAAACCTCTCTGAGATAGAAAGACAGGCCAGAGAGGACAGAGGATAAACATCTCACATTTTAGCTAACAAACTGCAAATTCATTTTGAAATAATGGATTAAGAATATACAGAGAAAAAGGAGCAAAAAGAAAAATGTTATCAAGTTACTCAAGATTTTTAAAAAGTCCTGCATGTTCAAATGTTTCTTTATGTTATTTTCAGTCATCTTTAATTCTTCTAGACATTAACCTGTCTAAAAGTCCACTGTGTCTTATTCGTATGTTACCCTCTTTACAGCTTTATTTCACCCTTTCATTACTATTACACCCTATAGTGACAGTGACACCAAACAAAACCAGACCATTCTTCTAAGCTCCGTACACATACAGGGCAGAAGACATGCTCTTCCTAAGAAGCCTACAAAATTCCTTTCCCTTCAAGTTCATCCTCCTGCATTCATTTGTCACTCATCTATGATGATGCTGTTAGAAGGAAATTATAATAATAGGCAGAATTTCTCACCATTTCTGCTAAAGATAAATACAAGAACATTCCAGCTGTAACAGTAAAAATCCAGTTTTGAATGCATGGATCCGTTGATACAGAAAGGCCAATATAAAGTCCTAAGAACGCCGTTAGTGCACTTATAAAATTCATCAAAATTGCAATCTTCGTGGGGAGGCCCGTACTCAGTAGCACAGCAAAATCTCCTGCATAGAGAAAAAGACAACAAAAAATGGTTAGTGACTAGATGTGTTTGTAAGATTCTTCATAAAAATGTACAAAGAAGACAGAGAAGGACGGAAGATTGCCCTTAGATTCTATAAAATTGGTTGTATACTCATCTTTTGTGGAAAAACAACCACCCCAAACAGCTTGTATTTGTTTAGCTGTTCCTGAAGATAGCACAGAGTATACAGGAGTAACTTCTGTTAGTTCTCAATGTTCTCTGACATTTCCAGCTTGGATAAATGCAAAACAGAAGTCTCATGTTTTCCCCAAGTTTCTGGATCTTCCTTGATTGGGAACTTGCCAGTTAAAAATCACGGGTGTATCTACAACCAAGTCTTTCAGTGTTGTACAGAAAAACATACGCACATTCAATTCCAGTTTTAGTTTAATTCAACTGATTTCAAACCTAATTGAATTTAGTAAATTGTACCTGAGCAAACAAAGGATCATGGATTTTTTCTTCTAACATAAATGATTTCTTAACAGGCCCACAGCAAATGATTTTAAAAATTCCTCTCTACACATTTGGAAATACCACTTTGACACCACACCACTGCATCAGAATTAAGAAAGTCTCTTTGGAGTTAGCTGTTCAGTACTGTCATAGTTTCTGTGCTATACAAACATGAGTTAACAGTTCTACAAGAATTCCCCCTCCACAAGTTTTCTACAGATACAGCACTTGAAACCTCCAGTCATTTAAAAATAAAAAGAAACCAGAGTACAAAAGTTCTCATTTTGGACTTGCCAGCATCAACACAATGCCAGGAACAGCTTCAGCCATACTGAAAGATTTACAAGAAGGAGATAATCGGGAAAATTTTTCAATAGAGCTATCTTGCAGCCCTGTCTGCTAGTAAAATGGGTCATATATCTTTCTTTATTATCTTGTTAGTCTTGATTAGTAGCAGAAATTAGAGTACTCTGAAGAATACACTGTTAAATGGCTCTGTTGCATATTAAAACTCTTTCATAGCCCATTGTGTCAGATATGCCATTTGACACACATGGCTTTTGCTCACAGTTTACAGTTTTCTTCTGTTTATAAACATGAGAATAAAGAGCTACTTTGATCTGATAGAATTTACAACTGAAGAAGTGAGATGAGATGGCAGCCAATCATACAGGGAAGATGTCTCCACTTTTCTTTTTAAAGGGAACAGAGAAGTACACACCCTTTTCATATATTCATTCCACATGTATCCATTTAACAGGTTTTAATCATAGAATCAAGGAATCATTTAAGTTAGAAGGGACATCTAAAGATCATCTGGTTCAACACTCCTGCATGAACAGGGTCACTGGGAAACCTGTTCCATTTCCTCACCAGGTACTGTAAAAACCTTTTTCCTTATGCCCAATCTAAATCTCCCCTTCTTTAGTTTGAAACCATTGCTCCTTGCTCTATCAATGATGGTGCTATGAGCAGTTCCCACTAATATAATACAGGAAAGCATTCTTTGGAAAATCTGTAACTACAAAGCCAGTCAGGAATATATATATATTTCTTACCCATTTCATGAGGAATTTCATGGCATAAAATAGCAATAGTCGTTGTCACACCTGTTTCTGTTGAGGATGAGAATGCTGCTCCAATTACCAAGCCATCAGCAAAATTGTGAAGACTGTCACCCACCAAAACCATGATTGCTAACAAGCTAATTCTGTTATCTAGGAAAAAAAAAAAGAAAAAAGCAACAAAAATGCCCAGAAGTTTAAACACAAACAGATATTATCATTTTTGCTACTTTACATTTGTTTTTGTAGAACTGACACATAACAGAAAGTCAGAGGAACCAGAGGACAATTGTGTTAAACTCTTCTGTCCCCATAATTGCACTTCTTTCAAAATATTTGAAATGAAAAAGCAGTTTGTAGAATCACTCAGAGATTAAAATATCAAAAACCTTCCTGGCTTTGGTTGGTGAAATTTTCACAATTTTCATTTCCCTGCATCCTATATTCTTTTCCTTAAAAGGAAGGAATGTTTACACCATCATGCTCAGAATTGTACAGCTACAATGAAGTCAAATATTTAGAGTAATAGAGCTGATTGTTTTAATGCTGTAAAGCATAATAATAATGAGTTATATTTTCAGGGTACGCTCTCTATGAGATTGCATTAAGCAGAGAGAAAGAGCTAAAAAGCAATAAGCCCCAGACCATCACAATTAGTGCAGTGCTATAGCGTCATTTCCAGCTTTTGTTCCAATCAATTAATAGCAGTTATGTTCATAGTACTCCTGTCTACTCATGGATGCAGGCAGCTCTTTTTCCTTCCCATTCTGTTCAGTGAACTTAGTGTGAACAACACATTTGATGCTTGGGACATTTAGCAAGGCTTTTTGACATGAGAAGAGAAGCACTGGATGTGATGCAAGTGTTGATATCAAGGCAGAGAAATGGACACTATCTAGTCTGTAGCCCAGCTGAGTGGACTTAGGGGAGGGATTTCATCTCTTCGAGTAGCAGTGAGCCCAGTATTTAGGGTCAATGTCTAGGCTTTGCAACAAATTTTGTAGGTTCCCCGAAGTTAATTCACAATCCATTTTATCCATAACCTTGCTAGCAGGACCTTCCAAGGCCTCCCAGGATACTCATCCAGCTTCCCTCTACGCCAAATGGACAATTTGCTTTGCAAAGAGTTGTATTTATGCCTGTAAAAGTGAGGTCATGATTTGGGCCCTAAACAACATATGTTTTCCCCAAGTGTTTCTGACCCCAAACAGACATAATGTGACAGTCTGGGGAGCTGTGCAGAACTACCTGAATATTTTTATCACAAGGTTTTACCTCCATAATGCTGTTCCAGAGGTGACCATATTATAGTAATGGGGGAGATGTTTTCCTTATAAAAACTGCCTAGAACTGAAGCTTTCAGGCTATTATAAAAAAGCCAACACATTACACATAAAAGCCTAACAACTGTATTCAGAAAATCCTCCCCAGTTGCCTGAAGCTTTGCGGGTTGAGAACAATTGGCAGACCTGTTAGATTCCTCTGCCAGCTCCCAGAGCCAGAAATGGATGTCCCCAGTTTGCACAGTTCTTTCTAAACACTGTGCAGTTTATAATCAATAGTGCAGAGCATGAGTTACATAGAAATAATAGATTGCTGCACTACGTTAAGGTTGTGACTGGTAATAAGGTGTGGTGAGGATGAAACCAGGGCCAGCCCTGATACATTATTAGTCTGTTTTATGGAAGGAGCTGATTGTTGAAAAAGACTTAACATAATTACTGGAACTCATTTCAGTGCGTTGTTTATATTATAACATAGGAGTCAGGTTAACATTAGGGAGAAATTGCAAATGTAAACATCATGAACTTACTCGACTGAAAGCTAAGAAGATGCATATATAAACAAATCAGAATGATTTCTTTGCTCTTAGCCAATTGTAGAGCACCTTGGTTACTAGCAATTGCCTCGCTGCATTACACTGCTGCAACTGTAACTTAACTATCAAATTGTCACAACAATTTCTAAAAAGCCTCCTTTTCTTAAACAATCCATTTTTTATTTTGATGATTTTATCTGCTGAAATAAGGGGATTGATACTCATAGCAAATTCTATTCCATAAATTTCCTTATAAAGCTAACAGGTGCAGGACTCTCACCAGAAATCAAGTTTCTTGAGCTTTGAATACAAGTTTAAAGAAAACATTTATCTACACAAGAAAAAAATGCTACTGTTTTATCTTTTAAGATGTTGGCAGAATGAAAGTGGATATATGAGAAGGAGATGGCCAGTGGAAAGGTCTTTTTTCTTCCAGTAGTTCCTTGCTTTCTGAATTACTCACTGGCTGTTTAAGGGGCTGCCTCCTCTCACAGTACTACCTGAAATGCTTTTCTGGAAGTATTAGGCTTTTGCCTTATGGTGTCAGATTCCATTCCATTTGAGGATGGAATTAACAGCATGTTTGCTCTGAGCTCCTTGAAAAAGAAAACTGTTACGATAAAAGCTTTGAAAATAGGTATTCTCAAGAAAAAACGCCAAACCAAACCACCACTACCAAGAAACCCACAAAACAACTCCCCTTTCCTACAATAGTTTCACATACTGGTTCCCATTATAAAAGTAAAACTGAACTGTGAGGAAGAAATGGAAGGAAAGAATATTAATCATAAAGTACACCAAATTTTGTTTTAAGCCTTTGGCAACTAATAACATTGGGATCACTAGGAATCTATTTCTGCCTAGCAGGGAGTTATGCCTGAACAGAATGGAAATATCTAGAGACAAACTAGACTTTAGTTTCACTAAAACTGGCACTGGATCGTGTACTACTGGATAGGTGACACTGAAAAAATGGAAATCCAGTTTTCTAATGGAAATGAAGTCCACAAGAACAGAGAAGGATACTAAAAACCTAGAAATTGTTTAACAAAGCAACTCATGACATGAGATTTGAGATAACACTAAAAGGGAGGTTAAGTATAGTAAATAAATTGACTTAAATTAAAATGCTTTTCTCTCAGTTGAATGACTTCAATACCACTAAATTCAACAAGGTTACACAAGTACAGCCAGAGCTTTGTGGAGTAAACAGCATTGAAACAGAGAAGACAAAAATTACTTCAGTGCTTTCTGAAGAAAACAGTTTATCCTAAAACTGAGAGCCATCCTGAGTGCAGAATTCCATACATGTAATAAATCATTTCTAGTTCAAAGGGGCTATTGCTTTACCATGTAAGAGAAGAAAGAAGCAGAATTACACTAACGTAGTGAGCCAAAAAAAGAACAAAATACCGTTATTTCACTACCTTCAGAATAAAGGCCCCAGCAAAGTTTACAATTATAAAAATCTGTTTCATATTAAATTTTGAATGTTTCTTTTGAAGCAAGGGATTCAGAAAAAATAGTGAATAAACTGCAACAGTGAATAAACAAACATTAAAGCGTAGACACCATAAGATTAATGAACTTCACAATTACAGGGTTGGCAGTTGTGAAGGTCTTTAAGCAGTGATTTAATTATGTATCCAAGCACCATCAGATGTGGTGATGTAGCACAGCAAACAGAGCTAAGCCAGCTTCACACTTTCTATTCCATCTTAGGTCTTAAAACTTTTCCTATTGCTTGTCTGGACTTTTTATTGATACTAACTTTTTGTGCTGATCACCTTGTTGCCTGGAGAAACTTCAGACGACTCAGAATCTTCTGGGCTTCTCTAATTGAAAGGAAAGATAACAAAGCAGTGTTAAAGGGCTCTTCCCGCTGCTGCTATAAATATAGGAAAATATAAAATAAATTCAAGCAGTTTGAAATAAAGATTGCTGCTGCTATTTCCATAGCTATCATTAACATTATGTATTGAGTGCTGGCAGTGTGATGGATATTGTAGAAAGAAATTAAGTATAAACTGCTCAGAAATTTTTGTAGTTTTGTAATCCCCCCCAAAAATCATGCTTCTGCTTGAATACACAAATATCCGAGCCAAATGTAGAACTACTATAAAATACATCATAATTCTAATTTTATCTTTCAAGTTTGTAATAAAAATACAATTGTAGGTTCCTGCTGGATAGAGGATTTCTGAGGAAAATGTGCATATACCAGCCTCCTTGGTGTTCCATGCCCTGCACTGTTGCTCTGTGAAAATATAAGGCTAAAAAAGAGGATCACAGATCTCACAATAGCTACAAGCACTGTAGCTGAGTCCTCCTCCCCTACTCTCTCCCTGTTGTTTGTAAAGCCTCTTGCTTAAAAGAAAAAATGCAGAATGTGCAATTATTAAAATGTAGCCCATCAGGATGTATTTCACTTACATTCAGAACAAAAACTATTCCATAGAGTTACTGAAACAGTCTTTTAGGACATAAGCTTTTTTTGTTCTTCAGGGTGAACAGACCCCAGTGCCTCTTGGCCTTTCACTGGGGCTTGATCATCATGAGGCATTTCTGGCCAGGCATAATAGCTCATGAGCATGCTCTACTGTGAACTTTACCCTTAGTGAACAAGTAAAGAAAGATACAGCAGCTTTGTCCTTTCCCCAGATAGTTAATCTGATGCATCAGTCCCAATGTTTAATTACAGAAACGGCAACTGTGGGAAGAGAAGGGAGAAGGTGAGGAATGTCTCTGTCTGACCCTCACGCTTCCTGGGACTTTTCTTTCTGACTGGAGAAATCAGAGATTTATGAAAGAGTGAGATATGCCAAAAACCATATTTGTTTGAAAATAGAAAAGTTGGATTACTAATCACTATATTTTTTTGTTTTGTAGTCCAAACAAAGCATGAAACGCATATTAAAGCTATTATGGCAGCCAGTGAAGAGTCGACAGCAGCCCAGAAGATGCTTTGTTAGGGGCAGCAACCACCACTGCAAAAACTATAGCAGAGATGTGTATTGGCTGCAAAACAGGATATGCTTCTTGGCTGGTATTAGCTTGGTTGTGGTGTGGGATTTGTGCTGCGGAGGCAAGAGGAGCAAAAGGAAAGGATTTGGTTTTTAAACTCTACATTTTAAAGGAAAAATAAAACTCTTTAATTCCCATGATTGAAGCCAGCCATATGAATTCCAGTAATTGTTTCACTTCTCTTATAATATTTATTCACATGCCACTTCTTTGAACTCTGAGTAAAAACTGCAGGACTAATCACTGACCTGGAGGATTTATAAGCTTTTCTTAGTCAACCAGTGTTTTTCTTACTATTACTCACATGACTCTGAAAAATTGGCTGCTCTTGTACAAACTTGCTAAGTCAGGGTAGTTTGTGTGGTATACATAACTTCAGTGTGATCTTGCAGCTGAAAGGAAGGACTAGATTGTTCATTACCATAAACAGGAAGCTATGACATGACTCACAAATTAGTAAACATTCTTCAGCAAGCTGTTTGCTCTGCATTCAAGTGACAGTTTCTCAACTGTGCTTCAGAGAAAAGCAGTGGCTCATGAGACTCTTATCTATCACAGCTGCTTGTTAAAATGGAATTCACATTACAGAAGGTCTCTGATTTAAATTACCAGGAACACAGATATCTAAGTATTCCATATAAGGTGAAGAAAATGGTTGGAAAAGGAGAAAATGGGTAAGAAGTAAAGAGTGAATTTACTTTGTAAAGACAAATCTGTCTGTATATCCTCCACAGATGGACAGGAATTTATGTAATTTCTTAAAGGTAAGCATTGCTCTCTGATACCCAACTTGGTTGTATTACTTTCCAAATTTGTGAAAAAATGCCCAAGAAAGGAGCAAGATTTCCTCTGTTTAGTACTTAACTCTCACTGTAGAAAATCCTGAAGTCTTCCCATGGGAGAGTCTGCCCTTACATTTAATATAATTTTAAAAAGAAGAGAGGAAGGAAATGTTCAAAAATTTTCTCAACAGTAGGTAGTACAGGATGTGTGCAGTTATATCAATCTGGTACACACTTAAGAGAAGTCATTAGAAAAAATTATGTTTGAATTTTCTCTGTAAAACCTTATTATAAGCTTCAAAATCTATAGATTCCTGACAATCATGTCATATAATAAAGGAAAAAAAATCAATAAAGTCTAAAAAAATAGTATTGATTTATTATACTAATTTGGTTCATTTTTGAGGAACAAAGAAAGAAGAATACAAAAAAATCAGGGAAATATTTCATATTAGTAACCTACCAACTGTATGGTTGAAGTAGATTTGTCTCTGCCTGAATGTTCATTTAATTCAGATTCCACTGGAAGATCATGGGAATGTTCCCAGTGCCCATTAACTAAAGAAAGGCCCTGCTGAATGAAGATGCTTTGCAATTAGTTCTTAAGCCCGTGGAACTCCGGTGCAGTCTTTCTCAAACTTTTGGGAAAGTTCAGCATTTACAAAATTTGTATTTATTGGTTAACATCAACATCTCTTAATGCTTATCTGGTTAAAAAAAAAACTTGACAATTGAATCAAATACATCATGAATGATCATATTGGCTTGTGGAAATATACATTGTTTTGAAGCTGAAGATGAAAAATTGTTTAAACATTTAAAAACTTTTTTTTTTTAATTGTGAGATGAAGATAATGCTCTTCTCTGAGTATGCAACATTAGTGACAACTTTTTTTTTTTTTTTTTTACCAAACTAAGTATCATTACAATCACAATAGTCTCATTCCATTAATTTCACATAATATTCTTATGGCTGACTCAAAGATAGGAAATGGATCCAGTACTAAGTATCTAAATCAGGCCAGTCATTAAATACTCTCTGCAAAACAGAAAAAGCTAAGCTTACACTTAGATTTCTTAAGTGACATTAAAATAGCCTCTCATGCTGAGAAACTTAATGAGCTTTCACACTGTTACATTATATCCTCGTGCACAGACATATTTTCAGGCATCAACTGCACTGAGATAAGACAACAGAATTACCATAAGCATGGAACTGAGAAGGGAGACATTATTAAGTTCGGGTACTACTGACCACAAAATTTATATTAGATTCTCAAAAACTTCGGGATAGGAGTCATTTGGGAATTTTAAGATATACCATCCTTCAAAATATATTGTGCTTTCATCTGTGTCTTCCATCTCCTCAAACTGTGCCTAGAGTAAATAACTATCATCATTATTTCATATGGACAAAAGCCCTTCACCTGCACCACTCTTAATATTCTTAGGAAATAAATTCAATTAACTGTTTCTTTTTCTGAGGGAATATAAGGATACAGGGAGCACATTCATGGAGCATATAAATCTATGAAGCAAAGTGAAATAGAAATCAAAAGTCAGTCTGGTAGGAGCAGTTTAGAAAGCAACTTTCCATGTTTCAGTCATACAAGTGATAACTACTTCCATAGTTATTTTAAAAACTTGTGCACTGCAACATCTCTAAATGGAAGAGATTTTTTTTAAAAGGATAAAAATGTACAAAACTTTACCTGTTCACGTGGTGTTACCAAAAGAAAGAAACATTTTTCAATCAGAAAAAATCCATGAATCCCTCCAATTATTCCCAAAAGTTTCCAAATATATTCTTTTCCTTCATAGAAATGTTCTACCTCTTGTACTTCATGTTTATGTAAACCAAGAGTCTAAAAAGAGATGAAGTAAAAAATTTATCATATGCCCATTTGATTTGTTTTCAAGATTTTCTTTTGCCACCTCTTTCAATTTGTTTTGAGCTAGTCAACAGAGTAAATGGATGAAACAACTTATCATAAGCCTTCATCATCTCTCATTGTTCAAAGCTGCATTGTTTCAAGAGAGTTATATGAAATTGTCCTTTACGCATTTTCAGAGGATATATTTTTGAAGTATACAGATATTTACAGTCTAAGAAGTTGCTTGTGTAATCTTCAAAATTAAACTTCAAACTGAAAATAACATGGAAGGCTTTCTGCTGTCAAATGCTTCTGGTTTTCCCCAGGAGAGGAGAACAGCAGCCTTAATTTGCTTCCCTTCAGAAAAAAGGAACTTAAGAACTTTCTGGATGCATCACTTAAAAATAGTGAAGAATACTTTCAAACTTAAATATGTTCATTAAGGGAAGGTATTTGTCTGATACTCACTGAGAAATGCCTTCTTTAACTACTTTCCCAGTTCCAATTCCAGAGAATGCATTCAGTACAAAAAACACTTCAACCAGAATCATTCATGAAGATGTGGAACTCTTTAAACGACTAGCAGAAATCTCCTTGTAATATTTGTTCCATATGAGAGGAAACTCAGTCAAAAATAAATGATAACATAATGGAAAATTTGTTTCTATTTTACATGCTGCATATTCTTAAAATTGATTCTGCGAATTTTAAAGACATAATACCACTCATGCTGTTCAAGGCAGTAGTACTAATTCGGTTGAGAGCTTCAGAATCTATAAGATATATTTATGAAGGGAGTTACTGATGTCTTCTAGAACATTTGAACAAATTTTCCTACAATCTGTTATAGAATCTGCCTCATGAAAGCATCTGAAGAATCTGCCTTGCAGGTTCTTGTGGGTTGGACTTGTGGATTATCTGAAAAGTTTTTATTGAAATGAGTACACAATTTTTTCTGAATTAATCGTTCATTCACTTTTGCTTCTTAGTCCTTGGAATCTCTCTCTGAAATACAAAGCGTAAATGTATTTGGAATGCTAAGTAGTTGATTCACAGAGTCACGGGAAACTTTCTCCTCTGTATCAGTGCATGCGCAAGTGCTGAGATCCTAACAACATTTAAATGTGTATTACCTACCTGAGGAATAAGGTGTAGCAGTGCATCTCCAGAAAGAGTCCCAACTGCCAAACCAACAAACAACTGTAAAATGAGCGTATAGATTTCTTGACAGGAGTTAAATAAAATTAGGGATGTACCAAACATAGATCCAACAGTAATAAGTAAAACTGCAACAGTGCTGTAACCATACTCTGTAGGGAAAAAGAAACAAAGTAAAACAATGGTACCTTTAACCATTCAGTATCTGCATTTGGTTTGTATTTGAGTCTTTGTTTTGTATTTGTTCTTGAGTCTATGAAGTGATTCACTGTGCTACATTCACTTTTTTCTGGTCACATGTGATACAGATTACAGAGTTGAAAGCCTAAAAAATCATTTTTTTTTCAGGCTCTACAATTAATACAGTCTAATATCTTCAAGTTTCAGGCCTTAAAGTGCTGAGTAAACATAACTGTGCTGATTAAAGGTGCTCAGAGCAGCATAGTGAATGCTGGTCTGCATTTGTTCCCTGTCTTAACAGGTTTGTGCTTGTTTCTCTATGTCACCACCTGTGTATTTTTACAGTCAACACCACATTATTAACCAAACAAGTAAAGAGGGCAAGGCCTAAAGCTTCAAATGAATGCAGGCATTTAGTTTAGGATCTAGACATAAACCTATTGGTTCAAATGCTGTTTACAAGGGTACTGTGGACATATGTTCCTTCAGTCATCGCATCAGGTCCAGTGACTTATTTTTCCCAAGTTACTGGGATTTTTGGAAGGTTACTCTTATAATTCTTCTCTAATACGCTGCCTTTGTTTCAAGCCTCTTGCACAGTATGAATCCTGATTAATCTGTATGAAAGTCTTATGATGGAGGTAAAACACTGATGAAAAACAGACATAAAGGAACTAATGCCAAAATATTCAAAAGTATCACTTAATGTTTCACACTTTAAGAGCTCAACACCTCATAAAATTAGGCAGTAAATCCCACAGACTGCACATCCAATAGGTTATAGTAGAGACTCATGGAAGGTCAGGCCCTGATGACTTATCCAAAACAGCACAGTCTGTCAGTAAAATAGAACTAAGAATATAATTAATGAGCCTATGCTCAGGTCAGATGTAGGTCAAACATGAAGTCCATTGCTTGTCTGTGTCAAGCCAGCAAAAGTATCCTTGTGCTCATGGAAACCTTTCTCAAACAAGCATGGGGAAAAAGCTGCACAAAGGGCTCTGGCTCCTTCCCTTTTGTGTTTGAATAGATCAGTTTTTCCTCATTTACACAGATGTAAACATTTCTGAAATCATTAAAATGTCAGTGATCAGGCTGACAGTATTGGAGTTACAAAATTCTAGAACACACTGAAACTACCATGAAGTACATGACCTGGGTAAGTTCCTTTTTCTTGGTCCCTTGATTCGCTATCTGAAAAAATGAGCATATCACCATAGCATAGAAAAGATAAAAGAATTAAATACTGCAAAATATTCAGATAATGAAAAGATACATAAGAAAGGACTGTTACCTCTTTGGGAGCTTTAATAATTTCCATTACTCTGAACATTTTCTTCATCCTGTAACTATTATTGTGATAACCATGAAGGTCCTCTAATGTATTTTAATTCTTTTAATTTCTTTTCTTATGTATTTTAATTCATGCTCATAGTTCAATTAATCTGCACACTGTGGAATCGTATTTCTGCTTATTCCCATAAACTGACTAATATATCTAGCTCAAAGAACAGGCATAATTTAGAGACTGAAAGATCTGTTCCAGAAAGAATGTTGGCCAGCTAGGATGTAAGAAGACCTTACAAGTTCCTAATGGATCTAGACAAATAGAGCTAGCAATGGAAATGTTAGGATAAAGGCTTCGAAGGTGCTGATTTTCAGCCTGCCAAGTTTTTCCAAGAGCACCAAAAGAGATGCTCTCAGTGCAAGTGATTATTATCAGATGCTTATCCCGTGTTGCCCATTCCTGACTCCCAAACCCTCTGCCAGAAATTAACACTTCCTGTCATATACCAGCACATCTATGGTTCTAAACATTTCAGGTGCTTATTTAAAGAAAAAACAAACACCAGAAGCATATTAAGAAGTCCTCAGTTCAATTTTTTTTTTCTGATGGTAGACTAGGGAGTGGTGTGAGAAGAAGCTGCATCAGCAAAAATGGTTGCGCAGCTATGCCTGGAAGCAGTAGCATGTAATGGCTATAACTGCAAATGGAAATAAGCTGTCTAATTATACTCTGACTCAGCCCTTGTTCCCGCTCTATCACACAACTTCTGCTGCCCTTACAATTGATCCTGTAAGTTTTTCTTTTCACAGTAACATGCCCAAAGTTCCTCTGCTGTAAAATAACACAGCATGAAAAACCAGCAATGTTCACACAATTTATCTGTATTAAATATTTGCCACATCACAGTATAAAAAAATGACAGCTAACATAGTGTTGAGGCTATATATAAAACCTGCGTAATGACTTCAGTATAAACCTTGCAGAAATTTTATAAAATTTTTGCCCAGCAATCCCCTAATGAGGGCCCATTGCAGCTCACCTGCTGGCTACAGCAGGCACTTCTCTAAGAAATGGGGAAAAAACATATATTGAACAAGAATTCTTTCTAAGGTAGCACCAAAACCACTGAATTACCTCTACTTCCCAATACAGTGCTATTAACTGACATGCATGCTACAAAGTCACGCAGTACAGAAAATTACAGAGAGCGTAAATCTCATCCTGATTGGTTTAAGGTTACTTGTGAATGAAAGTTCTCCAGAAGCCCCCACACCTCCTCACCTGATTTGGAGCAACGCTACACTGATAACAACAACATAACTCACTTTCCAAAGTTGTTGGTGGAAGTTTTGTCTGCTTGGATTCAGGAAGCTGACATGAACAACTTAATAGTTGCTGAACGATTGCTGGACTCATTTGCTTGAAGTGCTCCTTGGAAATGGATGAAGAACTATTTTTTAAAAATATGTTCACAAGTTCATCAGCAGAGAAACAAACCTATGTAGAAATATATACAAGTTACTGAGTACATTGCATGCATCCACATTTTATGCCAGGATGTAGTCTGTAATCTTAGAAGAACAGATGGTTATACAAAGTAGAAAAACTTGTTTTCCACATACATTGTTCTGGTTACATTATTTCAATTAATTCAATTAATCCTCTTTTTTTCATTGAAACTTAATATTAGTAAATATTTCAGAAATATTAGAACTCTATTAATACAATCTGAGGGTCTGACATGATAGTACTTCTTGATGCTTTGTTATCTTATGTGCTAACAACAAGTCATGCACCTTGCTATTAGTCTAGTACAGCTTTGTATCAAGGCAGTACTGAAGGTTGTCCTTGTACTTCACGGTTATATCTTCAGAATTTGTGTTCAAATTCTTTTAACAATGCCATATCACTTCAGGGTCAGCATGCTAGATGTTACATAGTCCAGATTTGGTTTATGGACTACTTAATAATTGTATTTCTAGAGGTACATGAGAATCTCAAATGCTTCCTGTTATAAAGTCTCTTTTTCAAAAGAGGAAAACATATTTTGAAAAATTTCATGAAGAACTTTCTTCCATCTCCAAGGTGGAACTTCTGGTTAAGATACACGCATTCAGATGGAATTTCTGCAAAACCTTTTAAAAAGACAATGTTCATAGCAAGAACTTCCCTTCAGGAATAACCTTAGTTTCTTAATCCCATCTGATTTTCTGTATTTCAATTTAAAGATAAATATTTTGTTTCTTTCATTTAAAATAGTCTGCAACTAAAAATTGAGGAACTCCTGAATACTGCTTTTCTAGTCACTGAAACTTGTAAATTGGTTGGGATTCTTTCAAAGAAAAAGCAGTATTTAAATAATTTTTTAGAAGTTGTTACTGACCTTACTTTTAAATAACCTAATTAAACAGAGAAGTCTTTTTGCATTTGTTCATCCATTAATAAACTGAAATACGCCTTGTAGCTCTCTAAGAAATGGGATGAATTGAGCACCAATACACTGAATCTGAATATCACACTCGGGTGTTCAGAGTAATAGATGATCTTACTGCCTGAATCTCATCAATTCCACCTCCAACTGGAAGGACAGCAGCAAGAGAATTTAGGAACTACCAAAGTAGAAAAGACCTTGTGTTTGTGTTCTAGACAGTAATTTTGGCAAAAAGTGTGAAAAACCAATGAGTGGTATCAACAGCTGGAAGTCCAGGTCATAGCTGGTTCTAAGCAGCACTCCTCAATGGTCAGTACTCGGTGGTATTATTTAAGGCCTTATCAGTGGCCTCAGTGCTGGAACAGAGCACATCATTCAGTTGTGAAATCCAGCTGAGACAAAAATGATAGATATGCTGACAGTAATGGGTGCCGTTCAGAGGGATCCTGACAAGCCAATGGAATAGGCTGACAAATCATTGCTGAAGGTTAGTGAAGATAACTTACTGCACCTCAAACAGAATAACCCCATACAACAACAAAGGTCGAGGGAAAGCAACTGGGAGGTATCTTAACAGAAAAGCCCTCGGGGTCCTGACAGGCAACGTGAACGAGCCGCCAGTGGGCCCTGCTGGCAATGAAGGCTCACTGCACACTGGGCTCTATCAGCAAGAGCAGAACCAGCGGTCATAATGGAGAATGATTACTGCCTTCTGCTCAGCATACTGTATCCAGATTAATAACCAGCAATATGAGGAAGATACTGCATGTAGGAGAAGTTCGAAGGTGCCCAAGATAGCTAGGAGCAGAAACAAGTTGTGGCTAAGGAACCTGCACTGCTCAGTTTGGAGAAGGCAAGGCATGTAAGGTATCACATCTTCGCCTACCTAATGGAGCAATGGGGAAGATGGAGACAGAGCCTTCTCAGAGGTGTACAGCAAAAGGGTAAGTGGAGATAGGAAGTAGTTGCAGCAGGCAATAATCCAATTCTTCGTAATAAAACAGTTACCAAGTAAGGCAATAGAGTAGTGGTACATTTTCCCAGAAAGACAGTGTCATCTCCATCCTTGGAGAAATTTAGAATTCAAATTGACATGGCCTTGTTGAACCTGATCTAACTGGGATGTTTTGAGAAGGAATTTAGAGGGCCTCCATGAACCTACCTTTTCCTGAGATTTAACAAGGAATTTTAAAAGAAAAAGCAAGATCTTACCTGGAAAATAAATAGTCCACACACAAATAATTTGTAACACTCATTTACTAAAATGTTCTTGAGGGCATGAGGACCTGCACCTTTTCCAGTGACAAGACCTTGCCTTTTAAGTTGTTTAATTAGAGAGCTAGACTACTAAATTTCCACACTAATGAGGTAACTACGTATGTGCTCCTGTAGGATGATAAAAATAAAATTTGCATATTATCATATGAAAAACTGGATGGTTGGATGAGTGGATGATCTTTGTTTACAAATAGATATTTCTTTAATGAGGAATCATAAAAGAATCTGCAGTTATAGTAATAAAATTAAATTAAAATTAATATTATTGTTCTTATTAGATTTTCTACTACTTGTTTTACATGCATTTTTAAGACCATAGAGATGATGACTTAGGAAGCAGTGACCTTTTTTTCTGCAATGATGTTTCAAAAAAATCAAATTACAGGTCTTAATCTAGTTAGCAAACAAGCTGTAAACCAGTCAATGCCTCATCTGTGGCAGTATCTGTTACTCATGAAGCACAGATTTGTGCAGAAAGCAGGAGACAAAATTAGCAACAACACTGAAACACAAAGCCTTCCAATGGAAAAATATGACAAAGAAAACAGACATAAGTAGAAGAGGGATGGAACAAAAAAGAGAAGTTAAGAATCAAAGAGGATAAATTCTCTTCTTTGTGATTTTTCTTTGTGATTTTTCTTTGTGATTTTTTCTTTGTGATTTTTCAGCATCTATACAGAATATTTGGCTCTCTGTTAGACCCACAGATTTCAGATAACGCTCCTGTGCACTTTTCTTTTGACTTACAGTCAGGCTCACAAGTTCAAGGAATCTAAACTTGATTGTTATCTATTTTGGTATTTCTGGAAAATGATTTTCTGTCTTGTATGCCTAATATCACAGCCGATTTCTGACATTCATAATTTAAAATTAATATGGAATACATTTAAAGTGACTTTCATTTAAAGTTATTTTGAGATTCCATTAAATGCCTCGTGTCAGCTCATCAGCATGATTCTGTTTTGTGGACACGTGGAATGAGATAACCATATTGAAAGGATTTGCATACCAGATACAAATAAAATTATGCAAATCTATCAGAATGGCATTTAAACAGATGCCATTCATCTCTGTTTTACATCACTCAGCAAAAGTCAGTTGCACAACCACAGGAAGAAAAAACACTATACTTCAACTTAACACAAAGACAAAGTACTAAAAACAATAGAAACAGTACTTGAAGCATATATTTTAAATGGATACATTAAAAAAATCCTCCCTTTTCAGTCTGAGGAATGTCCTTCAGTCTAAAGGAAGAAACTCAATTACCATTTTAATCACTGTGATAAACAACAATTCTTTATTATTTAATACTTAGGACTAAGATAACACCACCCATAATGAAACACTGTCCAACAAGCTTCATTTAAAAATACTTAATACTATGACTAATACTGTATAATAATATAAAAACTAAAATAGATTTACCTGATCCCAATTTGTGTTACTCCCACGATCTTTAAAATAATCTTTCAGATAGTCTTCTTCTGGATAGCTTGCTTTGACTGGACTGTTCCTGGCTCCAGTACCTGTGCTTGTCATATCATAGTATCTTTTGTAACTTTGGAATTGTCCATTTACAGTGCAGGACTTTCTGGCTGTAAGCACATTGAGGAGTTGTTCCAGTTCTGGTTATTTATCAAAAAACAGAAATGTCACCATGGGAAAATACACATTTAGACAGACAAAACTCAAAGTATTTTTTAATAATTTTGTTAATTCTAATATTAATTCCTCTTTTTAATGTTTTTCTCTCCACTGTTCAGTATTGCAGGTAGTATTGCAGCATTTCCTCTTTTACAGCACCACACTGACAATGACAATTTCAGGGAAAAAGAGATGTGACTGAAAAGCATTTCATGTTTCATTTAAACATAGGTCTCTATCAAAATTATCTATGAATTACTGACAAATATTTTCATAATTTCTCGAACTGTCCTGCCAGGGGCAGGCATTAAGATACTCCAGAAAGAAAGGTGTTTTATTGGGTGCTCTGAAAGCACCCCTGAGGATGCCATACTGCCTCTTGTACTTCTGAAGTGGAACACAGGGCAGAGGATTTTCTGTCTCATTTGGTCAAGTTGAGAATCTGGAAGCATGCCCGATCACAGCACTGAAGTAGACAGCAGGGAACCAGGAGTCCCAGTCCGAGTCCTAGACAAGGCAGGGTATGTATCCTACAGCATAACTGAGCGCAATGGTGGTACTTGCTAAAGAAATGCTGAATTTTACAAGGGGCATGTTCTATCACACTTTCATTTCTCTTCCATTTTTTCCATCCTGGTCATCTCCCTTCACTCCTGTGCTTTTCAAGATAATGATTGTTTAGATAAACCTGAGTTTGTACATTAAGAACACACATACTGATTTCAGTGAAATTTAGACCGACGAGATTAGCAATGTTTCCATATGATGATCCTTTGTTTTTTTTGTACTGTTATTTAGAAAAAGCAAATAGTATAGTCTTAACAATAAATCTTTGAGAAAGGCTTATGCTAAAGTTTTTTTTTTCTTAAGCAGCTCTGAACACTTGCTGAAGGTAGCTTTATTTGCTAACTGTAGGCAACTCTAATTTCTCATTTTTCCCACAATTCACATTCTTGCTTTTTTTCTTCCAGTTCCTTTTAGGAATTAAATGTATTTAAGGGGACAATTTAATTAACTTAAGTTTAAAATACATTTACACTGTAACAAAATAGTTAAGAATATTTTTCATTTTCTCTACATGATATCCTATCTCCACTACCCATAAAGGAAGACTTTCTACTATCTTTACTGGGGTCTGGATTTTAACATACAAAGCTATTGAGTAGCATTGTGCCCATCTCCATTCATTCTTGTGAGTCAACTTACAAGATCTCCACTATTTGCTCCACAGTTTACGCAACTGCAGCCTAGGAAATTTTATAATTTGCTTCTGTGATTTAATATGTCTCTCTGCATCCTAACAGTCATAAAAATCCCTTTACCTGTGCTTAGTTTTACATTTTAAGTTGTTTTAACCCAGACTTGATGTAACTTTTTAAAAGTGCTTTGAATATATCATAAAAGTGTTGATTTTAGCAGTACCCACAAAGGAGAAGTAGATGCCTTATCCAAACCTTCTAAATCCACTGTAGGCCCTGAGTAGATGGTTTAGAACTCTGCATCCAATTCCTCTCCTACAGGGGTATGTCTGCACTGCATTGTGAGGGTCCAGGGTACCTAATGTGCCTACTGCATGTGAACGATCCCCTCTACCCCTAAGTTAGTCTTGTGATATGGTTGCAGCAGCACAACACTCTGTATAAAGAAGCAATGCAGAGAAGGCCCTGGCAAACTCAGTGCCCTCACAGCAAGACTTCCACTCTCAGACTCCAGACTACACTGAGAAGCTGTCATAAATTATGACAACACTATGTATGTAATAACTATGGTAACAATGTTCTATATTTCCTAGAGATTTAGCAAAAAAAAAAGTTTATTTTTCAACACCTACAGGTGAAGAAATACCTTACCTGCCACTTGAAGCTCTGTGGTACTGTTCAAAGAATTGAAAATATATTTTATAAAGAATTCTGGGGAGGGCAAGCTTGCTTTTCCCATGCAGACTCCTTGGAGAGCCAAAGTAATAATCAAAGCAGCCAAGCGTGGAAGAGTGTTTTCATCAGCACCATCTCTGTCCACTATATCAGCAGTTTTCTCCAGAGTACTCACATCAACACACTGAAATCAGGAGAAAACAGCTTGAAGACAGCCCCGGTCATCTCGATTTAAATAACAAGAGTGACAGGAGGAGAAAGTGGAGAGAATGCATTCACAGCGAGCCAGAAAAAAAAAACACTGAGGTTAAAGCTGTAATTGACAGCAGGACAGCAAATAAGAAACAGAGGACAGTTCCAGGAGAACAGGGATAAAATAAAAGCTGAAATTTTACCCAGATTCTAAGGGGAAGATGTACAGAATTTCATTCACATTATTCCTGTTCAGTGATATTTCTGCTTCTCGTACGTCATGCTCAGTTACCTTCACATTTCAGCAAGTGGCAGAAAAGTGAGGAATTTTTGTTAAGGCACAAGGCATTGGCCCAAATAATATGGATTTTAAACTCTTATTAATCTCAGACTTCAGAAAGAATTCTCTTAATGTTTTCCCTTATTTCTGAAATCAATATGTTGTTATATATACAATTATATAGAACATGATGGAAAGCCACCATTATGCAGATAAAGGGTGACTTCCCTTCCAGGTGACCAAAGAGATGATGTAGACAGTTATGTACATCCAGAAGTGTGTATGCAGGCAGGTCTGAAATGAGGGGCAGTCTTTGTTACATGAAAGTATATCCCTTTATTTCCACCAATTTTGGCTTTCTTATTCATTTTCACTGCAAAAATTTGGAGTTTGGGAGACAAAAAAAGATGAAAATTACAAAAGCTGATTTATTATTTCTCATATTAATGAAACTAAAAAGTCAGATGAGCCAGTACAGTAATTGTTTTACACAATCATCTCTTTCTATGTGTGCCTTAAACACCGTGGGGCAGAAGCTAACATCTTTTTTTCTGTTCATGCAATACAGTTTCATTCCCAGAATTCCAAATTTCCTCTCTCATTTCAAATAACGCACTAGCTGCTATGATTGAAGACACTTTCTATAAATCATAAACATAGAAGACGACACAAACTGTCTTTCTTCTATCATTGTTGTGCAGAATTGGCCCTTTGCCATAACTCAAGTGTTGTGATTCTAAACATTAGAAAGTCTATAATATTTTGAGTATCTTCCATTTAAACAAACAAACCAACCTTCTTTTCCCTCATGTCAGTGGTAAAGTCTCAGTTACGGAAGCGATTTGACACTTGAATATACTGCCAGTGCAAACAAACAGACTGCACAGAAAAGCACTTTATGGATTGCTATTCTATCCTGACATGCCAAATATCCACTGGTGTTTCTTTATATTTGCCCAGATACCATAGGATTTTTTCAGCACATTCACCAAGGCCTAGAAGTAAATATACTGGTCAATGAATAATTTATGCTAGGGAAACGATCACACAAAGAAGAACTGGAGGCCCTCAGTGCTCTCTGCTTAGCCGGGACTCCTTTCCATTTTCTGACTGCACAGAAAATTCCTACTACAGTCTGGTGCAAATAAAAATTCAATGAAAGAAAAAAGAAAGGGGGAAATTCAAAGTTTGCAAAAGACCAAATTTAACTTTAATATTACGAACAGACCTCAAGGGCTTCTCACAGCAGTTCAACCTGTACTTCAGTAGTTATCTAATTTAATAAAACCTTATTTTATTGGTTTTTTTTTTTTAGTAAGGAAAAGAGTAGGATTTTTCTAGATTGTTAACTCAAACATATTATTATATAATTTTAGCAGATTTGAGATCAGGAATAGTAAATAGTGGTGGAAAAAACTTGTTGCATGACTTTATGAGTTGAATAGACTCAATATGCTCTTTATTGTTAAGTCTGAAATTTAAGCTTATCCATGTCAGTCTTTCTGCAAGGCATATCCATGCTCATGGATAATTAGATATGTGTCAAAATTAAATGAGCCCTTCAGGTCTTAGTACATAATCTTACTTCCACCATACTTCGCACAGAGATAGAATCTCATAGGTCCTCATGACAGCAGACAGATTTATTGTTTTCATTCTATAGCCAGACCAGTTTTAGAACTGCTCTGCTTTTTACCATTTAGATACAATCACCAGTAGCATATCTATATTAATTAGTAAATACGGTAGATGAGAAAGTATTTTCTGTCCTTGGGGCTAAGTGCAAGATATTGCACCTATGCAGCTACAGTTTTCCACATACCTTAAGCAGAGCAACTGTATCTATGCTAGCTATTTCCCCAACTATGTCTCTACAGAGTCTATGAAAAGTTTAGGCAGTGCATGCCAAAATGCCAGTCAAGGAGAAAGCTAGCATTGGACAGCAGGTACACTAAAAAAACAGCCCATGCTCTGTTACTGGCTGTTGTCTGCAATATAGACATAATGCTTGAACTAGCTTAAAGGCATTGTATCATTTGCTTAGAGGCATACATCAGCAACTATAAAAGTATTTTTACTTATCTTTTCTTTACCTGGGTTTGAGGAGTTTTAAAATGTTTCTTTACTGCAGCCAAAATGTCTTCCGTTTCATTCCGTGAAAAATAATAACAATCTTCATCATGTCTCAAATTGAGCATACTCTTTACATAAAATTTATAATCCTTATTACTCAAGTTGAGCTTTGAAGAACACACGTCTCTATGATGAAGAATGTAGTAAAGGAGAACAAGAGAAATTCTCTCAAATACTTCTTCACTGAGATGATCTTCTAAATCTCCACCAGCTATTAGTAACATAGCATCTGGTTCAAGACACTGCAAAGAAATTGAAATAAATGGAAATTCAAATCAAGAAACACATTGCTGGTCATTTGTAATTCAATATGATAGGGTAATAGGAGAATTCCACTCTTAAATACAAGGCATCAAACCTAAGACTACACAGATGTGAGCTGATGGAAATAGATAAGGAGGGCACATTTCATTTATTTCAGTTCTACAGCAGCTATATCACACCTTGCATCTTTTTTTTTTTTTTCCCAGAGCCTCTTCTGTTTTGAAGAAATGTCAAGCCTCCAAGAGATTTAAATTTTACTATAAAACAGGAAGAATTGTTGCCAAAACTTCACTGCAGAGAAATGAAAGTCTTCCACTCGTTTCAGCAGATTTTACCTAATATATCTGTAACCAGGAATAAGACCTACTGCTTAATCATTCTGTATGGGTTTCTGTTATATGACAAAGACCATAACTGACCACAGTTAATCCACAGTATGTGAACAAACGTTACATCATTTTTAATACACTATTAAGTCTTAATTGACCCAACAGTCATGTGGCTATCCTTTTTTCCTCAATTCATCCAGTTAAACAGAACAGCTCCCTTCAGCACAGAAAGGCAGTACAAGTTCTCAACATTATCTGGTCCTCTAAATGGACTGAAAAGAAATACCCTATATGTGGTTTATATTTGAGCAGACAAAGGTTTATATATGTAAAACTACAATTATTGTTGATGAAAAAATTTTCCAGAAACTTTTGCCAAACTAAAGTGAGCCTTTAAAACTAAGCTATAAAAATCAATAGAGCTCTGAATCAGGCTATGGGAAATGAGACCATGAATTCCAGAATAAAGAATCTTTCTTGAAGCGACCCTGTAACTATTGTCATTTATTGTGCAGTCATTTCTTTTTCCTGGTTGGTTCTCTCCAAGCACTAAGAAGCCATGTCAGTTAATCTCAACCATTATGATAGACTAGGCAGACTGTACATTTGCGAGAAGAAAACTACAACATGAGAGGACCATAATTACGCTCAAATTCATGAGTCCTAAATGGAACTCATGCTGTCAAACTGAATTGCTTATGGCTACAAGCATGGTGTGTTGCTTGGTGTAGCTCACCTTGTACATTAGTTCATTTTCCTACACAGAGGCAGGGTAGAATCAAACACACATTGTTGCATTCAGAAACCAATGTTCCCTAGAGGAATTGAGAGAGCTGCCACATTTTTATATAAGTGATTCCCGCAAAAACTGACACAAATACTCAATAATCAAAGAGAACTGTGGATGATAATGACCAATTAAATATTTATACTCATAACCAAGCTTCATTTTAATATGATAAGTAGTATGATCCACTGTGCCCTGTCCAAATTGCCTACCAAGGTCTGGAAGACATTAGACTTTCAGTGTACGACTCCAAACATTAATATTTGGGCTAGGATCTCATAGCTACTCTGTTCTCTGTCCCAAAGCCCTCGAGTTAGCCAGCTAGTATTTTTGAATGCCTGGTAATAATACAAAAACAAACAAACAAAACAAAAAAACAAGCAGAACAAACAAACAAAAAATCTGTATGTACTGAAATAATTTCAAAGGCTTCTGTAACATTTCAAAACCCAGTAGTATTATAATCACCTGGTCTTTTGTTTGTTCTTGCAAGGAGGATGACGGAAAAGTAAATAGTTTTGGTTTTGTTTGTTTGGGTTTTTGTTGTTGTTGTTTGTTTGTTTTTGAAGGAATAAGGTACATTGTAAAAAGATGCTTCTACTGTACAAGGTCAGCCCACTAAAAGTAACTTTTCAGGAGATATCAATAGAACATAAGTGGGTTCATCACTTGTAATTTTTGCCGTTAGGAATATTTCACAGGCATAACAACCTGCATGATCTTGGTTTAGAAAACTTATTCGCTATCAAAACACGGAGCCCAGATTTGAAACTGGCAACAGCACCCTGATTTTCTTTGTTTAAGAGGTCAGAAGTTAAAAACAAAACAAAGCATTTGCTACTGTTGCAAGAAATATATACCTTTGTGTGTTTAAGAAATAAAGGAGAGACAGACACTGCCTAAGAACTACCAGACCCTGCCCAAGGAGTCTGGAAGCCAATATGTAACAGTGAACCAAAAAGGAAACTAAAGAAAAAGTGTTAAAACTTTGTTGTTTTTAAATATCCATTGGAGACATCATTAAAAAGGAGAAGAAAAAAACTGAAACCAGAGTCATCTGGTATGACTGGAATCCTGGATTTAAAAGGGAAAGTACAGTCTGAAATCAATTAGTTATTCCCAACAAGCATGAGAGAGAAAAAGCCAAGCAAAGATGGGCGTTCTGTTTCAAATTTTGGAGGCAATTGAAAGGCAGCAAAAACTGTGAGCAGCACTATCTTGTGTTACCAAATCCTGTTAAATCATCTCAAAAGACCTCAGCACAGCACTATGAGGGCTGCACGTAACTGAAGATGCCACTCTCACCCTCTGGATTTTCTGTAGAGAGCTGTGTCCCTGGACAATGCAGGATGCATGCAGTATTACAGCCAGCACCGAAATGTACTGCAAATGGTGAATGCCCACACATTTTTCCCACAGAAAATTTCAAAGATGAAGCCTAAAGAGATAAAGTAAGCCCCAGCAGGGTTTCATTTAGATCTCCTCCATTCAGGGACATAGTGGTTATGCTCTCCAAATAAAGATCACAAACAGAAGATAAATGATGGCAATTCAGAGAAGCTAAACAAGGAAGGAAAACAAAGCCTAGATTCATTTTGAAATGATTACGAGGCATCTATAACCATTACTATTTAATACTTTCTTGCTTTGATCTGGGTCCAGACTTGCAAACACTGAGAAAAATCTCCTGTACAATCTCCTTTTATTAAAAAAACAAAAACCCACAAAATGATTTAGGGAAAAACAGACAAGTACATTATCTATGTATGAAATTTCACATTGGGGCTCACAGGAAAAATGGGAACATTTGAAGGAAGAGACAATTAAGCATCCTCTGCACAGGAGGAAAATTTATCTACCTCATTGGCTTGGCTGATTGCCAGAATGGTATAGTCTCAAAACAGTCACCACTATGAATATCCTCATAATTCTAATCCAAAGAGATAGTCACATGTATGTATTCACAGAACCAAGCCAAAGCTGGAGGAACATTAACCAAGGCCAAGACTGACCAAGCTCTTTGTAGCTCCTTTCAGGTGAGTCGCTCACTTGCCACTGTCTCCCTGCTCCCACAGTCTACAATCTTAATACTCTTGTTCCTTTCCTTGTCAAACCAGGAATTAGCTCTGAAAAATAATCTCAACTCGGCAGCTGAGAGTTCTGTGGATCCATACCCTGGACTGTTTCCTGCTTCAGTTTGGATATGCAGAGTCATTGTTCTGCCTTTGATTTTCCTTGACTCAAACTGCTTACCAAAAACTTTCCTGAATCTTCAATACTTTAGCAAAGCTGCGGATGAATCGGTGTTAATTCTCTCAGTTTTATTTTTATGAACCAAAACCTACAATGAAAGTGACTGAACTTATCCCAGATTTTACCTATGTCTTTCACAGCGAAAATCTTCTGTGAGCCAAATTCAAGCTCATGCTTTTTTCATTAAATCAGAGTGAAACAGGAAAATCCTTGTTGGAACATAAACACTTAAACTTCAAAGGAAAACTATTATTGTTATGCGACTGAAGTATGGGGCTTTTAAAGCATAGTTGTCACATCTAGAACACCTCTTCTTTATGAGATCAAACAATTAGCATTAGTAATTTGCAAAGAAACGATTCAAGCAGGGACTATCAATTTTTGGCTGCGATGAGTCTTATTCATGTTTAGGCTACGTATTTAGGATGACTTTACTATAACAAACAACTTCAGAACTCACTGAAGATTCTGTAAAAATATTGCTCATTAATTGAAGCACTGACCAGATTACAATCCTCTTGCATGCCATAAATCCGCTGTGGGCACTCAGCTCTCTCCAGCACCATTCTGACCAGTTCTCGTGAGTGGTTTGTGTGGAGCTCAGGGTTGTCAGCTGAAAGAAGGTGTAAAACTTCCATCAGATAGCTTCGGCTGGGAGCAGAGCTGCCATCCTGCCCGTGCTCTTCCCCAAGCTGTCCTTCAGCAATGAGCACGCTGAGCAGGAAAGCGGAACATACCACCCCAATAGCTGGGTGCTTGCTCAGAAAGCACATCTCCTCTTCCTGCAGCGCCTGAGCTGCTCTGAGTGTTGGAGTGTTGTTTGCACTTCACAGCTTAAACTCGAAACCTGAGGAATCTGAATAGTAAAGGGGAAAAAAACCCCAACCCCTTAATTAGTGTGAATGCAATATGTTTGAAAGGATTTATTAATTGGTCGGCTAAGCCGATTTGCAGTGACAAGCTGTTTTTGAACAACAGGGAGCCTGTAAGGGCTTTACAGCCCAGAACAGCAGGAAACTAAGACAACCATGGCCTTAAAATTTCTGTAGAATTACCAATAAGTGATTGATTGAAACTGCTTTTCCCTCCTCATAAAAATAAAGTATATGGTTTTCATTTCACTGTTATGGCACTGCATTCATAATAATCCTCTTCAGGAAGAATGGGAAAATGCTGTAGCTTTCACTTTCATTCCATTATGAAACAGGTTTTTAGTGGCAAAAAAATATCTGTAAATAAAGATTACTACTCTAATTCTGATACAAAGTACAGTAATTATGTTAGAAAGCAATGATATACAGCAAGTTTCATTTCCAAAACACTTTATCAACATTACCAAGCTCCAGCCATACAACATAAAACAGAATGAACAGGATATCCTTAAAAATAAGTGACATTTTATGATCAAGGGAAAGAGTTACAAGACTGAGGTCATAATTTCGTTCGTAGAACTCAGGGAACAAACAAGACAAACATCAGAAAAAAACAAGTTTGACTTCTTAAACTCTAGATGCAAAACACATTTTGTATCATAAATCTGTCTTGACACAGTCCTTCCCAATGTCAGACTATACCATCACCTTTGCTTTAACAACATCCATCCCAGTACAGAAGAAACAAAAGAGTTTCACTTCTGTTTTCCACAAAGACTTCTTCATATTATTCATTGGGATATGCTGGCACCAACAGATATTTTCAGATGACAACACACATGCATTAAACAGCCACACACAAGATCAGCATTTTTTGAAGTGCAATATGATTTGTGTGTTTGATTTTAAAACAAACCCAACAAATGAAGTATTTGAAAAGGAAAAAAAAACAGCAAAACACTTTTGAATTCAAGCTGGCATTCACTCGCTAGCTAAAGTTACTGTTTTAGATGCTAGGAAATCTTTTGGTATATAAATAAATGTTACTGTTAGCACTCTTGTTGGGATACACTGACTTGTAAACATTATTTTCTTACCTTCTGAAGGGAGAAAGAAACCCTGTGTATCTAGCTTCGTGGCCTTTTGAATCCACAGAAGTATTTAGCTGCTGGAAGTCCAATGTTTTTAAAATTCTTGATGGTGCTCTGGAAGCTGGAGAGGATTAGTTTATAGCTGCCTTGAAAAGTTTTCAGTTGCTATGGAGAGTGCTGGCTCTTAAGGTAACAATGGAGGTGGACAGGAATTAGTACATGTTCTTGGCAAGTTCTAAGCATCACATTATTGTATGTATTTCACATATTTTGTTAGTTATCATTTTACGTAAATGATGCCTGCTCTACTCTATTAAAACACAAGATGTGTAAAATCTATTGAAGAACGTATTTCTTTACAATGGGTAATACAAGTAAGCACCTTAACTGTTCTCTGCTATGTTACATTAATGGAGAGATTTTATAATATATTTGAATTTCTTTAAGTCAAAACTTAATTTCCTTTTGCAAACACTAGAACAGAAAAATACATTTTTAAAGCACTTCCATTAAAAAAAAAAAGTTGTTTTTCTTTTGGAAACACAGTCCTCAGAGAACAGGCTCTTTCATCCCTTCTCATTCTGTACCACACTCACACCATTTATAAAAGCAGGGACAGCTCAAACCGTGGTGAAAAAGATTCCTCCTCCCACTCTGATTTTCCTGAGGGGTTCCGTTGCAAAGTTGACATGTCACCACGTTGCTAATGTATTACTGCACTAGAATATAGTGAAAACTGATGACTGACAGATTTCCACAGTGACAAATACACCAGTCATATCATTCTCCCACCTTGCAAAACTTCAGTGCAGTAATGAATAATTAACATCTCACTTTGTTCTTCAAACCCTGAGAAGCAGTAAGACTGCTTACCTTACTGGTAACAGAAACATCGTGTTTCTCTTCAAAGCCCTAGGGACACAGTCCTGGGTTCTAAAACGCCAGCCGTGCTTCCTCCAAGGCTGTCAGCTCAAAGGGAATAGTCTTGTATTAGTAAGGCTGAGAGTTGGCAACTGATACTGGTGGAAAAAAAAAAAAAAAAAAAAAAAGAAAGGAGAACAACAGCTCAAGTGAAGTGCAAAATGTAAAGAAATGATGTTCTCAAAAACACAATTACAGGTATATGGAACAGTGTAAACTCTTGTTTGATCAAAGCTGAACATTTAAAAAATTAGTCTTACTATTATTTACTTAATGATACCAAAGACCCCCAACATTTGTATTGAAATGTGTTTTATTTTACCTTCACAATCTACTTCTTTTTTCTGTTATATGAATGACTGAAGAGCAGAAACATTATGGGCATCTCTTTATGTAATTTGCTCTATGAAACAACACTATGTCCACATTTGTTCCACTAATAAAAACAGTTCCTCAGATGATGTGGGAATAGCTTCCAACACTTAGTTCCATAAATTGCTTAATCGCCAAACAAATAGAGTATGTTTATCTGTATATAATTTGGCATTTTGTGTATAATTAGTAATTGAAATGAAAAAATTATTCCATCCATTTAATGTGTATAAACAGAAGATGAATTGTTTCGATTTGCTGAGAGATGCAAATGTTTAAAAATACACATTGTATGTTTTACTACTATCAAAAGCTTCTGAGAGAAGATTTGCACAGTAGTACTGGCAATGTCTCACATTAGAGTTCATATTACACAGTGACGGTAACAAAATGAAACATTTAGTGTATTAAAAAGCCACAGATGACAGTACTGGGTACTATGGTTTCAAAGAAATTTCCCTTTTTTTTTTTTCAGTTTAAGTGCTGCAAACTTCCTTCTCTGGCTTGCAAATGTGTTTCCCATTGGTGGCAAAGTTACTGATGAGGACTCAAGCTTCCACTTCTGCTTTCACCCTTAACATCACAGCATTGCCTCTGCTTTCAGTCATGAGCTGTCAGCTAGGAATATTTCTGTCTGCACAACAATTGGAGGACTACTTTTTACATGATTTCTGAAACCAATTGCTAACTTGTTTTTTTTCAAACTCTTCTGTAATAGCATTATTCCCCTGCTACCTACCCATGCTGATATTATGTCAACCAAAAAAATGGGGCAATGATAACAACTGAGCCATGTAGTTAGATGCCTAATACAAGTTTGCTGACAGATACAGTGAAATGACTCAGAACCTTAAGAAACAACCATCACTAATATAATTCTCTCATTTCTTATATCAGTCTCTCACACTTCGGCTTAAATTTAATTGCATGTCCTCTGGTGATCTTTCAATAGAAAGGAAAAAAAAGGTAGAATGACAATGTGCATGGAGAAAGAGCCCCCAGAGGTATTGCAGAACCAGGTATCTCAAAACAAAGCAATTTGCCCTTCTAACATGAAAAATGACCAAAACCCAAGGCACGGCAAACTTAAATAAGCAAATGACACTTTTTAAACTTGATTCTATACTTAGTTCAGGACTGTCTTGTGCTCAAGCAAGGATCTGACATCAAGAATTTGCAGAGATAAATCACCATTTTTAATCAGTTTGAACTTACATCATGGAGGGATACTTGAAGAGAGTAACAAATTGCTGACCAGCACTGCTAAGCATCCCAGTAAAATGTTATCAGAAAAGATAAGAATGTGATAAAGATAGGAATTTCCCCAAAATCATATTGTATTTCATGTTTCTATTCATGATCTCAAACAAAGCACATCTTCATGCACAAGTGCTCTCTTTTATGACTAAGCAAGCTCATATTATTATGTCCCCAAACTTCCATGACTAGGAGTGAAGGCAATTTCCAAATAGCATAATCAGACACAGAATATGATAAGCATGTGCAGCAAGCCCTCTTTGATTACAGGGTTTTCAGCTGTTTAAATTTTAAGTGAGCCAGTAAGACTCACTGCAGCTTGTCTTCTTTCTCCCACCTACGCACCTGCTGCAAGAACAAAAGCAAGTTGCCCATTCACAAATGCCATGAATAACTGCACTCTGCAATTTACTATTTTTCAAAGGATCAGTGAATAAATTACATGTGAATAGGAAAACTCCCTAGAGGACTCACTGAGAGATGACAAGGACGTGCCCATGAGCTCCATCAACCTGGCAAGCCACTTAGTTTTATTTGTACAGCAGAATTGGAAGAGGATGTAGGCATCATTTTAGCAAGACCCCTGCTGAACTTTACAGCTTAAGTGAGAAATGCAGCTATATAACTCTTATTCCTTAAATACTGTAAATCTTGTTTTGATGGACAAAGCAAATGTGGTTTTTGCCCTTTTATTAATCACAGCAATTTTGGCATACATAGAATTCTGAACTACTGCAGATTTCCCCCGTGCTATTAATGTGATGCGTGCGCATTACTACAATTACAGCCATAGGCAGCATACTGACATATGAAAGGACTATATTTTGCAAGAAATTTAACTCTAACTTCTATATATAAAGCATTCTAGCCAATGAATTAATGCCAGAGTACTTGAATAAAAAAATAAAAATCAGTGCTTTAAAATTACTACAGTCTATTCAGCCTCATTGGCCTCACATGCTAATCCCAACAATATCATATATTTAGAGTGCCAATTAATTAAAATGACTGAATTCTACTGAAATGATCTGAGATATACATTGATATAGTTTCACATATTAATATGTATATCTGGAACAAGCCCTATATTAGTTCAGGACTGATAGACTCATGCGTTAACAGCAAGTTTCCTTAGGGAGACTTGGAAATCTATTTATAACAGAGGAAAGGAATTCATGGATTATTTCCACTCTAGACCAGCAAAGCCTCTTAAGTTTTGACAAGTGTACCTTCAGAAATATTTTTTCCACATACCACACAAATAATTCTTGACATCTATTGTCTTCAGATGACTGGCATAAAAACTTAGATGGGTTAACAAAACATTATTTTACATGACCTTCTTAGGTCTCATTAATTGCCCTTATCTTACTACAAACTTCAACCTCATACAACTTCTCCATTGCTGATTTTCTGGTCAGCAAAAAAAATGGATACAAAGGTAACTGTGAAGACTATTCAAGAGTATCACTAAATCTAAACAAGAACTTACATACAGCAGGAGATACCTGCATGTGGAGGTGTTTAAGGCCAGGTTGGATGGGGTCCTGGGCAATCTGATCTCTATCTAGCAGCTGGCAGCCATGCTTGTGTTAGGAGAGTTGGAACTTACTGATCCTTGAGGTCACAGAATCATAGAATGGTCTGGGTTGAAAAGGTTAATAATCATCTAGTTTCAACCCCCTGCTATGTGCAGGGTCGCCAACCTCCAGACCAGGCTGCCCAGAGCCACAACCAGCCTGGCCTTGAATGCCTCCATAGATGGAGCATCCACAACCTCCTTGGGCAACCTGTTCCAGTGTGTCACCACCCTCTGTGTGAAAAACTTCCTCCAAGGCCCTTCCTCACTCAGGCCATTCTATGATTCAGCATCAGCTTCAGCTATCTTACCTCCTTTTATACTATAAAGATGAAGAAAGTGAGTTATTAAGCTTTCCACCTGTTATGTCCTGGAATGCTACCAGAATCTATCATGTGCATTCTTCATTTCTGTTTCTTTATGTTTCTAAAGATAAAAACATGAGTTGGTTTTACTAAGAACATATCATCTAACCCAAAGCACTTACAGTTTCATTAAACATATGATTACACATGAATAACTACATAACACTGCAGCACAGAGCACCAATTAGTAATAAAATGAAGAAATTATTTTAACAATTATGCTATTTACCATGTAGGAAACGGAGTTATGTATCACTTCATTTCCAACATTGTCTTCTGATCATGTGTAATTCTGTAACTCAATGGAAAACACAGCAATGATAGCAGAGTAGCAAAGTCCTAGGCTGCAGCAAGTGAGGATTTGCTCAGATGCAACAGCTGAGGACACAGGAACAAAGGAAAAAATGCTGCTTACTCCTGGAATACCTAAGGTAAGCTGGGATGTCCAGCAAGATATCCTTACCTCCACTACAAACACTTAAATGAAAGCTGGAAAGGGGTGAATCCTGGCTGCACCCCTTGTGACCACTCAGATGCATTGCACACACCTGAGTTCCCCTGGGTTGGCCCTGCCTTCCCACCAATTGCTCAATCACTGTTTCAAGCCATGACTTAACACTTCCACTACAACATATCATATTGGAATGGTCCTTTCCTGTTGGATAGCCATCCTTTTATATTTGACAAACACCCCAAAGTCTCTTTGTGCTAGATACCATATTTGATAAAATATTTCTAAAACATTTTTACTCTTACAGTGGTTTAGATGTATGTTCTCATACTGTTTTTGTACTACTGTATTTCACTCCATGTCCAAAATTCCAAGCCTCTAGTTCGTTTTGCACGGAAGCCCAATTATGCTCTGTTGCTTTCTGACTCAATGTCCTCAGCAAATGATGTCATTGCTATCTATTTATTAGATAACAATAGCCTAAATAGTTGAATCATGGAAGATCTCAATAGTAACCTCTAAGTTACTACTAACCTCAATCAAGCCAGTTTTATACATGCTTATTATTATTTCATATCAATGCAAAAACCAACAGCGATGAATAAAGTATGGGTTTTGAAAGAATCGTAGATTGTTTGGAGTTGGATAGGACTTTGGAAATCATGTGGTTCCAACACCACTACCACAGGCAGGGACAACTTCCACCAGAACGAGCTGGGCAAAGCCCCATCCAACCTGGCCTTGAACGACTCCAGGGCATCTCAGCTTCTCTGCACAACCTGTTCTAGTGCATCACCACCCTCACAGCAAAAAAACTTTGGAGAATTTAGACTCCTCCTTTTTTAACCATCTCAAAAACATCAGCTCATTGCTTGAATACTTTCTGCTATATCCAGAAAATAAACACAGATAAATTAAAAAAAAATAAGATATATTTTTTAATTAAGGTTATTCTTATACCACAAATAATAACATAGAACTCACATTACTTATTAATGAATACACATGTAGGATTCTAGGAATGATAACAACGAATATGAATAAACAAATAAATAATAAAAATAAAGATACATTAAGGAAACAATACAAGATGCTAGTTTTCAAGGAGACTAAAGCCAGTCTCTGTCAAGTACCAGAAGACAACCTGTTATAAAGAAACTGATGGTAGGAAAGCTAATCACACTTGTGGTCCTGAGTTTGGAAAACCTTCTAATACTCAGCTGAAAATAATCAAGGACAAGTATTTGCAACACTATCACTTAATGTGATTTCGCTTGTTATTTTAAGCTCTAATTACTGATTTAGAGATTTTACCACCCAGACAATCTATTCCTAATCAGTACCTGTAGTCTCCCACATACTGTTCCAAGAACTGCTTGTCTGAATTTTCTATTTAGTTCTAATTATAACCTATTGTGGAGAAAACAGTAACAGAATGTATTAAACTTGTCCTTTCATCAAGGCAGCAATGGGAAATTTAGAAGAAATAACCCTTTCAATTTTTAAAAATCTGGGCCCACAGATCTTGCAGACGCTGCATATTGTGTAACTTTCATGCTCCCTTTGTGAAACATATCCTTAACTCTAATATTTAATAACTTTTTTTCTTTCTTATTTGTGCTTTCCCTTTCTGTCTTTTTTTACATAAACACTGTGTTTATTCATTTGTTTTCATTGCCAATGATCTGTTTTCCTTGTTTTCTTATATGTTATTTGATGGCATTATATTTATATTGCTACGTATAGAAGTGCAACTGCAAAAAGAGAATTCAGTATTAATTACCTTATGATGCTTGGAAAGATGATAAAGGAAAATAAAGGATTGCTTTGTCAAAAAGTTTGTTACAGTTTCTATCATACCCTCTCTTCAATATTACTTTTTAACATCAATGTAATGATTGCAGAATTTGCCCTATCTCTATTTAACACATCATTCTTATCAATAATCACTCTCATTTTAATTTTTAAAAACTCCCACTCCCAGTTTTGCTCAGTGTTGTTTCCAGCTTCACAGAAAGAGCCTTTTTAAAGTATCGCATGCACGAATTCACATATAAACAAGTCTGGAAAATCATAAGTGTGAAGTTTAATCTCACTTTATACAACTTAATTGAGCTTAAAGTGGGTATTCATTAATGACTTGATCTAACAACATAGAATCGGCAGCTCACTATAAAGTTCAGAAGTAGCCAAGTAGAACAAGTCAATGCCTGGCAGTTGTTAGCTAGAAAAAGAAAGCATTAAGTGGATTAGTATGCAGAGCATGGTGCGTTGAGGGAAATTTTTAATTAACTCTCTATTAAAAAGTTTGGTTTCGGTCTTACCTAGAATTTTTTTTTTATTTTACTTTATTTTGTTTTCCAGAAACCCTGATAAGAATGAAGGATAAAGCCAGGGCAAATTTATTTAAGAAGAAAATTAAGGTTATTCATAAATCAGTGTCAAGGAGAAAAAAAGGGAGGTGGAAGTTCTGGCTTTAAGAACTCATTCTTTGTGTACACCTTCAGACAAAAGTCTGCATCCAATGTACTGGATTTCCTCCCCATTCTGAGCGGCAAGTCTCCCTGTACAGCTTCGCTGCAACATTTTGAGTGACTCAGAATTGTCTGACTATAGACAGAAAATTCTGTCTATTAAAGAGAATAAGTATAAACTCAGAGACCACCTGTTTGTATCTTAGGATGACTGGCTATGTATTATCTTCAGTTTGCTCTCCTACTGCTGAAACAAAAATACGACATATAAAGTTGCTAAACACCATCTTTACTGTCATTTTGAGAGAGGGAAGTATGTGCATATGAGAGATAAATAAACTACAGCATTTCTTCTTGGCATGCTCCTTAATACTACCTCTTCTTTAAGAAACCCATAAACTGGAACTAAATCTTTCACATTGCAAATACACAGGTCTACATCTATTATCCATGTTTTTAATAGAAAACTTCAGACTTTACTGTAAAGCTGTCACACTTCTGAATATAGTCACTCTAGACTCCCTGTATAGTATCACTAGAAAAAAAGAGACTATCTAAGAGGCAGTTTATCTGGCCTATTCTAGAAGACTGCTTTTGGAGGAGAGGAATTGTGGCCTAGACTTAGTGATTATACGTATAACTTGTATAACAGTTGAGAGCTTACAGCAGTCATCCCTGATGCAGATGTCTGTACCACTGCACAATTAACAAATGTACAGTTAGAAGAGCAGCATCACTAGGATAGTATTTTACAGACATTTCGTTAGAAAGATTATCCTGGTGGAAAGAGACAATCAAAAATGAAATGCTCACTTGTATCCTAGGCCAGCAGTAGAAAACTCCAAAAGGAGAGATCTCCAGAAACAGATCCTCCCCAAGTGCCAGTCAGCCCTTAAATGGGGTCTAGGAGAGCTGCAGCCAGGCTCCACCCCTTCTGGTCGCACAGTTGAATCACCTTCACCTGTGCTCCCAGGGCTGACTCAGTGCTTGCCTCAGGTGATCAATCAGTGGTTCAGGCCATGACTCAACAGTTCCCATACCACCATCAGCTACAGTTGAAAAACATGGAGTTTTAGTGTGAATGAAAACTATTATCAAAGTAAATATTAGTTTTAATATTTAGAAGAAATATATTCTCAAATTTGTTTTGTAATGAATTTGATCTATTTCAGAAGATAATTTTGATTCAGTTAAATATGCTGCAATTCCAATTAACAGTAATGCCTTGGTAAGTATTATCTCTCAATAAGTATTGTAAGTAATAATAAGCAGTAAAACCAGACAAAATCAAACATGAATAGTCGATTAATTCATGACTTCTCTGATTCTCTGAGTACAGTTTATCTCCAGTAACTCTTTCTCTGTTTTTTTCTTTTTTTAATTTCCATTTTTTAATCCATACATGCATTCACCTGTTTATCTCAGGAGAACTGTTTTCCTTACATTCAGATTGTTTCTCTGCTCCAAAATCATTTTACTTCTCTTTGTATGTCCTTCAAAAACATAGAGACCACAGCTTCAAAAATACCAAGTTGGGGGTACTCGCAGTCATGAGCAGCAGAAACTGAATATTCTTGATTAGTTTCTAGAAGAACTAGCAGAATGCTTTCATTTGCACATGTATTTCTTAGTGAGTACTTGTAGTAGGCATTTGATTTCAGCTCCTGGTATCAATATGTTGTTTTTTAAGTAATAACTTTAGTACTTATGCATAAAAGCAGTAATCTGCAACATTTTTGCCCATCTCTCACACATTCCATAAGGTACTTGGTTCTAAAAATCAACACGAGGAAAATATTTCTGAGATAGGTGGTTGATACACACAGTATGACATACACTAAAGCTTATGATTAGTGAAATCAATGCCTGGAAAAAACATAGATTTATTTCCAAGAATCCAGTCCTACAGCTTGCTCATTGCAATAGAAAGCTACAGGGAGTTGCCTCTTGGTGACATGAGAGTAAGCTTTAAATATAGACTCAAATAGTGACTAGTTCAGCATTTCAAAGGAATTAAATGATGAATTCTTACCCAAATTTCAACTACAAATAAATGTATTTTGGATTCACCACAAATGTAGATGAACCTGCATTTCTGCAGAAAATCTTGATTCATGCAATTTTGTTGATGTCTTAGGGCACACTCTCTGCCAACTATTATTCATCCCACACTCAGTTATCTCAGAAAAATCAAAGTTTCTACTGCCTCTTACTGCATGTACCTCTGGAAAATTACCGGAGCACTTTTGTAAAAATAATTACTTATAATCCAGATATTTTCTACAGGACTTCATATAATGTTAGTAATGTATCACCCTAGTTAAGTGCAAATGTTCCTTTCTATGGGATAACTGATAAGTTTGATTTGACAGTATTCTCTCTCTCACCAGTTTTCCTCAGGAACTGATGTTGGTTTAAACTATTTCTCTCCCTGTGTCTCTCTTGACAGAACTAAAGCACTTAATCCTCCCCCAATCCTGAACTTCATATTTTTCCAAATGCTCACTGTTAATATATATCTAACTTGCTAAATACAATCCTTGGTGCACTTTGTAAATGTCATGTCCCCAGACTGGAACTGTCAAATTAAACTGTTTATTTTCAAGCTGTTTACAGAGAAATAATTTTCTTTCTAAGCTGTTGTATTCCAGGTTTCAGCTAGCTTCGTATCAACACAGTCTGCTTTTGTTTTCTTCTGGCTTTTTTAGCAATGTATTGCATTTTTAACATACAAGTCATTTGGAAACACCATTATTCTAAAAGCAAAAGGAATTAAAAGTGTTTGTGGTAACTCATGCTAAACATGAGTATATTGTCTTAAATTGCAGTGATTGCTTCCAGTTGTTAGCAGACCAATAATAACATAAGAGTAATTTAGGTAGTTTTTTTATATATAAGACAGTGACACAGCACATAATTCTGAAAAAGGGTTGAGAAATGCTCCACAGATAAGGAAGTCATTGCCTGGTGAAGTTAAAAGATGTTACTCACTGCCTCAAGAGCTCACAAAGCTGCTTTAGGTATATGACTAGACTTATGCTTTCCATGACCCTTGAGTTTATACCTGAACAGGAACAGCCAAGCTAGGAAATACTGAACAGGCATAGACATCATCCTACCATCCACCTTAATCATCCTAGCTGACTCCATTGGCTAATGGTGCTAGGGTAATATACCAAATATATTACTTACATTATTAACATAACTCAGGAAAGAGCTGCTCTGGGGTGAGCCAACATAAGAACAGACCAGCTGTGTTCAAGTACACCCCTCGTGGACTTGAGTTACATTTTCATATTTAGCAGCATGAATTCCAGACACTGTTTACTAGCAGATCTGACAGGCACTGTACATTCAGTTCAAGGATGCAGAGTGAGCTATGGGCCTTTGAAGCAGGGCCATGCATAAGATGGCACGTGCCTTAGTATGGGGATTTGCAGAAGTGTTAGAGTAAATGCTACATGCTAGAACAGGTGGAAATGCTGGCAGTATTAGGTAAACACCTATCTGCTTTAGAGTGGTGAATCTGACAGTATAAAACGATGTAGCCAATCTCTGTCCACCTCCCTAAAAGCATAAGCTTTGCCCATGTAAAGAGATTAGTTTCCTTAATGGTATTTGTGTCCATCATAGAAAATAAAAATAATCTGTTGTTTGACAGGGGAGCACTGGAGTAATCAGTGATATAATTTTTAAAGGTTCTTCAAAAAATGGTCATTTGTGCTTTTAATTCTGATGGTCCTCTTAAGGTGGCTATAACCTTAAAGGTCTGCAGAAGCTCAATGTGCAATCCTGGCCTCACCCACAGGCAGGAGGTTGGAGAGGACAGTAACACACTCTCATCACATTTATTTTAAATATTTGCATGAAATATGCATTTTTGAATTATGTATTTCTGGTCTTGGCTGTAACTCAAATTGGGAACTCATCCACGATTGTATAACCCAGGACTAAGAATCTTAAACTAAATATAAAACATCTTCATAAGCAGTCAGTTTAATAAAGAATCCAGTCGATGGAGAATGGAGCTCTTAAAAGATGTTTCACAAAAGATGATAAGTGAAACATTAAGGATGAGAACAGCACAATAAAAAGTTATCACCCAGACAAAGAATTAATTTAGAGTTTGACTGTACAAATATGGAAGACAGCTGCAACAGTATTACTAAAACACACCAAGATTTCATTTTTAATTTGCTAATTGAGCCAATGATTATTCACAACTGCAAACTCGTTGCAGTTCTGCAGTTCATTTCTCTGCAACATGGTTTTCACTACTGTCATAAAAATCCAGACGAGTAGAAAATGAAAACTAGCAGACTAAAATTTCCCTTCTTTGCAATTTTCCTTGTATTCCCTGTGCAATAACAAAACACTGCTCTGATGACCCTACTTAGACTTGAATGTGTCTTTTTCAACAGCAAAAAATACTGATCATGACAGAAATGTATTCTTTAGAGCTCTGTATTAATTCTATCTTCCACAGATTCATCATAGCTGAGAGAACTGACTTTGTTGGGTTTTTTTGCTTGAAAAAGTGACACTTTTAGTTGCTCACTATTTTTCTACTATAAATGTAAAGAGAAGACAAAAGAGCAAAGTTACTGAACACAGAAAATACTGGAATGATAATTTTGTGTAATGATTGCTTAAGGCTGGCAATAATTCTAAATTACTTTCTTAATGGATTCAATGCAAAGCATTGGAGTAATATTTACTATCAAAACAACTTCTAAGGAAAATAAAAACGCGTGACTAAATAATGAGTGCTTCAAACAGTGTAATTTGAAAATATTTCTTTGTCTGTCAAATATAACATTATAGGTATTTGTTGCCATAGCTATTTAACCACAAGTTTGTTTTGTTTAATACAATGTTGTGGGACATGCCCAGATGATAGAATTACTGAAATCTCTGATGAATTTATAAGACTGCGATGAATTTCACTGACAAAAGAGCTTGTTTAAGTACAATTTATGCCATTCTAAAACCAATTTAAATATAGAAAATAACTCACTGGCCGGGATTGACATTTGCCATACAAAATCCATCACAACAGATGTCTCAATTCCCTGAGACAGGAAAGACAGATAAAGTACACGGGCTAGATACTCACAAATTATTGAACTTGAATTCATTCAGTACACCTCATCCATCATATTTACATAAGGCCCCATTCCTGCCAGTCATCGCATAATGTGCAGCACAGAGCATTTGACTAGAGCAGAGCCTAAATGGGAGCACAAAGAAACACAGCTTACTCTAGGCAAGTCTCTATTTTTAGCAGAAGTGAATTTCATATAAACTTCTTAGGGAGCAGCTGTACGTGGTCACAGGCTTGTTTATATTGCTGTGTCTTATTTCACTTTTGAACGTGATTTTTAAACTGTTTTTGCTAGACTGGAAAAATAAAAAGTGATGTAAAGAAACTTTTCATTTCTTGTTTTAAACGGACTTAAAGCCAAGCTACATTACAAGGTATATATGGGCATGTTTATAAAGTAGAAGAAACCAGTGTAATGATTAATTCAATCTTGTATACAAACAAAGGTAAAACCTGAAAATAATTATGTCAGCTACAGTCAGTGTTCCTTTACTTTTTTAGCTTTCAAGCAGCAAAACTATAGCAACCAAAGTGCAAGAGAGGGTATCACAAAGATGGTGTTTTTTTTTTAAAGAAGCATCAAGAACAAGAGCACTCCATTCCCCAGAATAAGAAATCATGCAGATGAGGCAGTAAAGCAGCACGGTTAAACAAGGAGCTGCTGACCAGGCTGACGGAAAAGCGGAAAAGTATAAGCAGTGGCATGGGATAAGTGGCTTCTACTCTGCCCTTATAAGGCCCCATCTGGAGTACTGCATGCAGACCTGAGGGCCTCGGTACAGGAGGGATGCAGAGCTGTTGAAGTGGATCTAGAGGGGGGCCATGAAGATGATCAAAGGGCTGGAGCACCCCTCTTGTGAGAAAAGGTTGAGGGAGCTGGGCTTGTTTAGCTTGGAGAAGAGAAGGCTCTGGGGAGACCTCATGGTGGCCTTCCACAGTATCTGAGGGGAGCATTTTATATTTGAGGATTTTTTACGCAGTCTAGTAGTGACAAGGGGCAATGGCTTTAAACTAAACGAGAGGAGATTGAGGTTAGATTTTAGGAAGAAATTTTTTACTCAGAGGGTGGTGAGGCCTGGAACAGGGTATTCTGAGAGGTTGTGGATGCCCCATCTCTGGAAGCATTCAAGGCCAGGCTGGGTGGGATCCTAGGCAGCCTGGTCTAGTGGTTGGCAACCCTGCCCATGGCAGGAGGGTTGGAACTAGATGATCTTAAAGATCCCCTCCAATGTAAGCCATTCTGTGATTCTATATAATTCAGTAAGAGTAAGAAACCATTTCTTCAGGTTCTCACTGCCCTGTAACTGCAGATATTGGGAAAAAAGGAAACAAACAGAAGCAATGAGCTGACAATATTTATGATGATACAGACAAATTTTTACATATTTCTCATCTCCAGACCAGTATGAGAGCATCTGTAGTCATGAAGCTAGATACTGAATACAGTTGTGGGTTTTTTTTAAATTTTATTTTATTTCAGGCAGTGTAGGCTTATCTATCAGTTAAAAGAAAGCTGAGGTTGACTTCTTCTTGAAGACTGGTAATTTAACAGGACAGCTGGCTTTCTCCTGCAAAGCCTGACAAACAGCAGAGCTGGCAGAACAGCAGAAAACTGGAAAGAAAGAAAAAAAAAAAAGAGCAGATCAACTAATAAAAAAACACATATCTGAATAACTGGTGAGATATCTAAATGGCTGCCATAAAGGCTGCTATGCAGAAACACATTATTTGTTGCCCTATATTTAATCTTTACAGCTGAAGCATTGAGAATTCTAAGTATCATTAGATTTGAAGGAGAAATAAACTATGCTGCTCTGCATTTCGAGCATCATTTAAAGATAGAGTTGAACATTCGTTATTTAGTCCCAAAAGCAAAGATTAAAGGATGTTATTAATGTAACTGAGAAGCAAAAAAGGGCACAGAAAGGAAATTCTGCAGGAAACAAGCCAGCATATTTCTGAAACAAAGCTGACACTACAAAGGCAATCTTAGGAGAGTACTAAATATTTGTTTCTAATGCTTGGTAGTTGTTGGAAAATACGTAAACTCTTCATAAAATAATTAAGAGATATGGTAGAAGAATAGTTCGACGAGTTAATTCAGTTAAACTTTACTACATCTGGGCTCTGATTAAAGCAGGCAGTTACAAATGTTTTCTGGCCCTGCAATGCATGCATTGCTAGTACTATACAAACATTTCTCTGAATACAATAATGCATCATGGCCCTACATACTTGCTAATCACCTGAATCAATAACAAAGCAATATCTTTAGAGTATAATAAAGTAAAAAACCCAGCATCTTTCAGAACACCTGTCTGTTGACTTTCTACTCATGTCCTGAGCTCCACGAATGATTTCATACAAATAAAGAGATGACATTTTAGGTTTGTGCTTCAAATACAGGAAAACCATTACATAAGAAAACATGCAAGTTCTTGTAAAAAGATATATTTTCTTTTCCAAGGCAAAATTAAACATTGCTTCAAGCTTTCATAATACCTCAGTGGCAGGCAAACGGAAGTTGATTGTTTTGGCACTAAAAAAAAGCAGACACAATCAAATCAGCAGACACATGGAAGGGGGAAAAGCATATCTGATAGCCCTCCAGAGCCAGAGGTCACACTTGGATAATTATATTCAGCAGATCTTTGCAGACTTATACTCGAGATATGGTAAATCCATTTTTATCACTGTGCTATCCCATGGCAATTAAAATGCTTATGATTCTCTATACTTCCATAATATTTGACCCTTAATCACTGTCTTATTACTGAAAACTGCTAGTGTATTTAAACTGATTGTGCACTGTAACCCAATCACAGAACTTATTTTGATATCCTTTTCCTGTATGTCTTCTAGACCTTATGTATCTTTTTCAGTCACAGCCCTACACATTATAGCTGCATTTTTCCTAATAACTCTTACATGCTTTTCGAATGTTACAGGGGACTGACCAAATGCTTTTCAGTAGGTTGTCAGAAAAAATAGTTGCTGCACAGGCTTTTTTATATTTTTATTTTTCCCACATACATAGCAGTGTTTGTAGTTCCCATTTTGTTATCTCAGCAGTAGACAAATCTTTAGGTCTTCACAGTCAAGTTCCAATTTTGACAAATATGTATAACTTTGGGTTATTGCCAAACATCATAATTAGCTTTCTTCTAGGTGATCTACAATAACACATGAACCATGCTAGCCATGTGTATACCAGACCCCTACAATTCTAGAGTGTGAGACATGATTTTGTAATACAAAAAAATCCCACATTTAGTCTTCTATAAACTATCATATGTATTTCCCAATTCTTCTATTATTGTATTTGCCTCAGAGAAATTCAGTTTACCTCTGAGAAAGTTAGATCTGTTTTTAGTGCTAAAGAAACACAAAGATTGTTTCACAGATTGAAATGGTATTTGTCACTTTATATTCCTTTGGCACTGAAGATCTATTCAGGAACGGATTATGTACTAAAGCAAACAGCAACTTCAAGGTTGCTTTTTTCTGACACAGTCGCTATGCCAGCGACGTTTCTCCAGCATTTTCCAACAAGGTCTTTTGTTCTTGGGATTAACCTGAGTTTTCACTTCAAAAAGCAGTTTTTTTCTGAAATCTTATGTATGTGTTGTAATAGTTCATAAGACAAATCTGTTCACAGGTAACTGAAGTCTTCCATTTCTTCCTCCTGTGTTTGAAGGAAAAACAGGAAAAAACAGAGAGAAATACTGTAAGCAACTATACTGATGACATCTGATGTGTCAGTGTTGTATGGTCTCTAAGTGCAATTCCATTTCACTTTTTTGGAAAATTAGCAAACAAATGCACCTAATGAAAGTCTGGGAAAATGTGAAAGCAACAAAATGAGCACTTACTGAAAGACAGTAAATGGACAATTACTGGAAGAATGGTGATAAAGAGAGATAATTTCATCCTGACAGTAACAAGAAAGTAAAGTTGGAAATAAAAGTGGCCATTAAATATTCTCAAGAGGGAGAAATTCAGAGAGTAAACAAGTTTCTGAAATTGAGCCATGAGAATTCCTGTCAGTTCTAATACTACTAATAAGTTAATATGCTTGGCATTTTTGGGGACTTTCCAGTTTTAAGATCGAAAAGCAATTAACTGAACTCTAACATGCTTCTGTGAGATAAGCACACATTATTATCCCTTTATCGCTGAGGGAGAAGCAGAGCAAATGGTTTTTGATTCATCACATAGTGCACAGATGCCTACCTGGAATACTGAAGTGGTGATCCCACAGGGCTTGCAAGGGAAGAAAAAAGAAAAGCAGAAGAAAACAATTAACATTTTACTACATTTGCTTTATTTGAAAGTCAAATGTAAGAGCTATGAGAAAAAAAAATAAATAAATCCTTTGACCCTCATTAGACCACTAAAAAAGCATTCCAGCTGGAGAGATGACCAGCACATTATCTCACTCACCAGCTAAAAAGTTAATTATGAAATCGGAATCAGTTCTCCTTTCATCTTGTCTCCCTGCAGTTCATTTACGTGCCCCAAGGCTGTGCAGCGATGCTCACGACCGCACGCAGGCCGTGCTGAGCGCACCGCGCCCCGCCCCGCCGCAGCGCAGCCCGACTGGGCAGCGAGTGCTGGATAGCTCAGGCCAGTTCCTGGCAGAGAAGGAAGTCCGCTTCCACGCCACAGGTGTCCTCGACGTTTCTGTCAGCGTTTACTGCAGCGAAAACAAAGTTGAGAGCCCAAGTTGGGCTCGCTCCGAGCCCGCAGCCTGTCGCTCGCTCGCTAGGTGTCGCCGCCGGCTGCCGCGGAACATGGCGCTCAGCGCGGCCGCCATCTCGGCCGGGAAGCCGGTGGCGCGGCGCCGCCACGAGTCGGGCCGCTGTCCGGGTCCTGCCCTTGCTCGGGCGTTCTGCCTCTTGCTCTGCTGGCACGGGCGCCATCTGCCCACCCCTGGTGCCAAGCAGGCTTCTGATATCGTGGAATTGTATCACCAAATGGCGTGGGTTGTAAGGACTTTAAAGCCCACCCAGCTCCCACCCGTGCCTCAGGTTGCCCAGGACCCCATCGAAACTCGTCGTGAGTGCCTCCAGAGATGGGGCATCCGCAGCTCTGGGCAGCGGTACCAGTGCCTCACCTCTTCGATGTAAAGAATTTCCTCCTAACACCTATAGAATCGTGGGCTGGACTGCATCCACATGAGCTCTGAGTATCTCCCAGCCTGGAGGCTTCGCAGCCTCTGTGGGCTGCCTGTGGAAGTCTTCGAGGCACAAACAAATCGGGGTGCTTTCTGTGTGCTGAACATACACTCCCTGATGGCCATTCTTTATGATTTATCTACAGCTAGAGCTATAATACTGTACAGACTAATGAGGCTACATAAATTAAAAATAATTTCTGTCCAGATTTAGCAGAAGAATTGAAAATTTCTTAAAAGAGTTTATCTGCTTGTTCACCAAAAATAGTGATCTTCTAACCTGGCATTAAGATAATGAATACTGTTTAAAATGTGCAAAAGGATGATTTTTTTTTTTTTTTTTTTTTAAGAATTGTAATAAACTAACTTGCATTTTACGAATTGATTTCATTGATTCAGCCTGGTATATACAGCAGTTTATACAGATCAGCAAAGATAATTGTTCCACTGATGCTTCCTGACAATAACTGTAAACAAACAGGTAGCAGAATAAAAAAGAATTAATTAAAATTATTGCAGGCATAATTGGTGAAAAAAAATAACAAGATGAATTGTTTGATCACTCATTTGATGGTCTTCTGTTTGAAACATACCAAGCAGGAGAGAGCTAAATTTCATCATCCCGGCATCCTTGGTGCTGTATTTACAATCTCCAAAGACTTGTGATTCACTGTGTGTCTATCTCTTGCAAGGTATGAGTGCACCTGTCTCCACTGCTCTCAGCTGAATGTAACTGGGAAAGTGAAATTACTGCTCTTAATACCATCTTCTTCCTCTTGTGCCTTTTCTTCTTCCTTATCATATTTCTTCTCTTTCCAAATGTTGAAACGATCAACTTGTTTTAAAAGAAATCTGCTTGAATGAATCAAGACAACATCTTTACAACATTGTTGTAAGGAAAGCAGAAGCAAAGATTTAAATTGCTGGATGGTATAACTGGAGTAGCTGTAGTAATTACATGCAGTAATGTTTGTATACTCCATCTTCTGTATTCTTCTTTTGTGGGCATGTTTTTGTCTTATGTTAAAGCAGTCAGGACTGCAGCAGCTGCAGCATGTCTCAGACAACTTCCTGTTTTCCAGAAAGGAACGTTATGATCATCTTTAATACCGTATAAAAGTCTTGAATTGCTAAATTTTTTCCTCCCTATAAAAATTTGTTCTGGGTGGAGAAGTAGGGAACAAGGGGAAGCTTATTTAAAATGTGTAGTAACAACTGTTTGTGAAGGAATATCAGTTCTTAAAAATCCTAAATATTTTTAGCTGTTGTACAGTGAGAAAAAAAAAATGTTTCTGCAATTCCTGTTTATTCTGTGAGCTTAAGCATACTGGGATCAGAGTCGCCTATGATTCGTTTTACTGATGTCATTACAGCAGTTGTATGTTCATTTGATTCTAACTTCAAAACTTACAGGCAGTGTGATAAGTCTCAAGCAGACTACATGCTGCTGTTTCTGAGTCACCATTCCTTCTCCCTTATTTACAATACCATCCTTTCTTCTTCAGCGTTCACTATTTGGCACCGCTCCTCCCTTCACATTATTTTACCAATAAAACCAACAACGTCCTGCAATGCTACTCTGGGTAGCATTTTATACACTAAAATTTACCATTCTATCAACAGTTTAATCAATCAGTATCTAGCAGTAGTCATAAGAAAATGTTCCAATAGATGTAAAGCCAAACTAGCACGGGAAACTGATAAGACTGACTCTCAGAAAGTTGCCACTGTAGTTCTGAGACAATGATTGAGTTCTAATTTCATACATCTCCCTATTTTTACTCCAATATTTTGAACACTATATAATTTCAGCTTTTCTGCAGCCAGAGTTACAAAATAAAAGTTTTCCTTGGGCTGCAAGAAGATTAAGGGTTCTCTATTTCCACTGCTGAGTGATATTTTCCTGCCACAGATTGATCACAGCGTACTTCTAGAGAAGATATCCTTCAAAAACTGGTAAGGAAAACCAAGAATTATTTATAAAAGCAAGGTGAGCAGTTATATGTGCACACACACACACGCTCCAGTATAAACACTTATGTTTAACAGCAGGGGCAGTATGTCTTCTCTTCCCCATGATAAGGCTAATTTTAACTGAGATATTCATAATAAGCAATATCTTTTCATGTTTCAGGCACTGAACTGAGAGTGGATTAGCATATACAGGTCTTTTTGAAGAGAAGCAGGCAGACATCTGTCTTGGACAGTGAGATAATGCATAATGCACTGGTAGGAGTGAACCTACGTAATTTAACCAAGCGTGCAGTAATCTTTTGTGTCTGAACTATGTATGAGATGTTCAGTAAAGTGCCAGTTCAAACAATAAATAGATCAAAAAAGACGTGTAGAGGAATTGGAGTATTCCTGAAACACAGATTCCTGTCCCAGTGACTGTTCTTGCTTGAATGAATAAGCCGTCCTTACTGTAGCAATGCTGTTCCATGCTGCCAGTAATGATGATTACCTATCTAACATGAGCTGAATTGCTTTTAAGTATAGAACAGGAAAAGCACTTTCACTCTTTGCTCATCCAGAAAAGACAAGTATAGCTGTTTATCCCCAGATTTCTGTAGCACGTATCCGGAAACAATTTAATCTTTAGTCTTCTCAGTGGGAAACAGGTGGTGTTTTTCTCCTTCCATTTTTATCCAAAGTCCTCAATTATTTCCTATTTCCTCTTGAGAATAAATGTGACTTCTTTTTCATCACAGGAGCAATGGGATTAGGATTTACTGTATCAATTTAGGAATTTTTTGTTATGTGTTTTTATTTCAGGGCTTCCCTAGGTATTCAAAGGGCATTAATTACAGAATTTGCTTTTGATTCACTGCATTTTTATCTCTCTAAATAATCTGCAGTTTTTGGTGGTGGGTGTTTTTACCACATCTCTTCATTAAGTACAGTCACACAGACATACTAGAAAGGGAAAACCTCTTACAATCTAGGTATGTCCCTCAATATCTCACAGATTCCCTACAAACTCAGCCAAAGCTGTAGAATAAGGCATGTCCATCCAACAAAGGAGTGTAAGAGAAGAAATGAAAGCTCAGGCAAAAACATCTGATACCAAATATGTGATGCCTTGATAAAACAACTGAAGCAAGGAGCTACTTCCATTCTAAGTCGCTAACAATAATATTTTTACTTTATTGCTTACTAGCTATCTAGAGAAAAGGTCAATTATAAGGATAATATAAATATGTTCTCAAGCCAGTCAGACACAAACATGTATATCCTGGTGCATAAACCTATTCCGCATGTACAACTTACTCTGCTTAAATAAGAATTTTAACATTTTTGTCAGTCATCTTAACCATAGGAAATCCTGACTACAGTTCTTACAGATAGTTCTGAGAGAGCATCTGTTTCTCCTTACAGATGCTTGGTAGAAGCTCCTTTGCTCTAGCTTCTTCATACATTTCTTTTCCTGAGTCCTTCTGTTTGCCAGGTGCCCTACTTGCTTGGAACAAGATGTTTCCATAACTCAGTGGGGATGAGAAACATGCAGAATGATTGACTGCCTGGAAGAAAACACTGCTTCTGCATACAGCTGAAAAATCTCTGAAAGGGAATCTAATGGAGTACATTAACAAATGAAATTACAATAGGAATGGAAGAATTTTGTTTCAGAAAGCATAGAAGTGATTTTATTCCTCTAAACTGGAATGTTAATGAATTATGAGATAACCTTATGCAATATAATGTAGGTATTTATCACACCTGCGTAGATTTTTTTTAAAAGAGGCATCAATATTGCATTCTGAAAGCATAATTACTTAAGTAAAACCCAATAGAAAGATCATCTTTTGTTGTATTAATTTGAACCTTGTGGAAAAATTTAATACTTACAAAATAATCCAAAAGTGCAAGGTCATAGAAAATTACACAATTGTTCCCAAAGTTCTGATCGGGAATCTTTTCAATTAGACCAGGAATCTTTCTACAGGAATCTTTTCAATTACTTTTCATCTATGTATTTACTTATTTGTAAGGAGATGGTATGTAACTCACAGAGACAAGTATGATATTAGGTTTTACATTAATGAAAAGATACTGTAACAAACTGTGAAGCTGCAATTCTGAAATAAGCAGCATTTCTTCCCTTCATAGTCTAAATAACACCAAAGCAGTACAACAGGAAAAATTATGAAAAGATAGGAGTAATTATTTCCCTCGTATGCAAAAACAAAAAGAGAAATGAGTTAAATAAACGATTTCACATAATAAACATCATAGGTTTGCCCTGACTCTTCTCAGCCACACTCATTTATGTGAAAAACAGGTGTACTCTTCATACTATACAACAAACTGAAACATTTTGGAGAACATATCTGTGTGTGTGTGCGCGCGCATGTTTACATAAATCCATTAACTTTATATCTGTGAAGGGATAAGACTATTATTTGAGTAGAAAAATACGAAGCTGCCATGAGATCTGACTAACAGTTGCATAGATTGGTTTTTGTTTTTTTGGAACTTATGGGTATTTTGTCAGACTACTTGTTGGTATATGCATCATTTCCTTGGATATCCACTGCTGCTTCTGATCCACTCATTCTGGCTGAAATACTTACTTGGTTTCGTCCCTTGTTCCTCAAGTAGAAGTAAACTGCACTTACAGCTCCAACTATAAAAAGGGCTAATAAAACAAACAGCCATATGATGCCAGTAGAAAGCACTGTCTCCATTTTCTGTCCTGTAAATTAGTGAAATCGAATCATCGAATCAGCACTTTCAATCTTAAGAGGTTTCAGAATCCAATCATAAACAACATTTCTCTAACAAAAAGTCAATAAAATGGAATACACAGGTAGATTTTCCATTCAACACATTGGGTTTCTTCATTCACACAACTAAATAAGTTACAATTAGAAAAGTTTGACCAAAAAAGAGTTTAATTCAGAATTACCTGTATTTCCTGCCCCTAGATATGGATTAAGTTTATGGAACTTTAATTTTTAAGTACTCTCAAAATTAGTATTTAGAAACTGTATTATTATTTTCATGTTGCATTTGAATATCTCTCACTGAAAAGTAAGTCTGCTTACCCATATTTTCTGGTGACATCTCTGTCTTTTCTGCAGCTTTCAAAAGGAAAAGAAAACATTTATTCTGAATGCTCAAAAAAAGGGAAGAAATTTAAAATTCCTAAGACAAGATGTTCCTGAGAATTCGCCCCAAACCCACCTGCCCTCTCAGGGAGATAGAACTAAGCACATGCAAACTCTAGAAGAAATACCACAGCATTCTACTGATCTGATACTAGCCAACAAGAAATGAGATTATAGCCAAATTTCTGTTACTTCCAAAAGGATTTTCAACTGTGTTTATTTCTGAGAAACTGCCCACACAATCTGTATTCTTTTTTAAGCATTTTCAGAAGCTGAAACATTTCATGAATGGAGATCTTGTAAGTTAGAAACGTATAATGAGGACATTGAGTTGAATATGATCTGTGAGTTTAGCCTCTTTCTGCTGGAGAAAGCTATTCCCTCTGGATGTAATCCCTACTGTAATTGCACTTCCTAAACTTATCAGGTAAGTGAAAGGTGAACAGAAATGGTCTTGTTATTTACCACTTTCATTGTGTCATTCAGCTATTAAATCTTTGAATTTTCTAGCAGGTGATCATTTTCGCATCAAGAGGCAATCAGCATTTTATTAAATGTGACTTTACAATGCTAAAGATTGATAACATAGATTCCCATGTCACTCTTAGTCCTCAAATCATCAGCTCAAAGGAAAGTAATCATCAAATCCAGAGTCAGACAGAGTTTGCTTCACAATTCAACAGAACAAGATTTTTTGAGAAAATACTCTATTGAAATGAAATAAGAATTGCTGCTTTTGAACTTAGATGGTGTGATATTTGATGGAAGGATCTAAGGAAAACTGTCTTTTTATTAAAAAATGAGAAGTCTTCGTTCTTTCGGTTAAACATAGATATCTGAAGTATTCTTGAGAGCTGCATGGAGCTGCTGATGGCAGTTTTACAGGACTTGGAGCTGCAGCCTTATGAGGAGGCAGTCAGTATCCACATGGAATATCCTGCTGTCCCTGAGGCCTCAGTATTTTGGCAACAGAGTGCTGCTATTGTTGTTTGCTGATTTTACACACAAGTTTGTAATATTTTATGTTTTTACATGTTTTACAAGGTATAATTTAAATACATTTTGAGACATTATTTGCCTCAATATGTTAGAAGTGCTACTTACTTTTTGCTTTTTTACAGATATATCCTTTTCTGAAAGAACAGACGTTGGTGTTCCAGAACCCAGTCAATGCACATACTTCTCCACAGTCTTTATGCATTCTGTTCATAGGCTCCCCAATTTGCCAGTTGACAAAATCCAATTCTGACTTGTCTGTCCATATCCATTGTTCTGATATTTAAAATAAGTGTATATGTATAAAACAATGACATAGAACAGGTTGTGATAGGGAAAACAGCAAATTTTAACATGGATAATTGTTTCTGTTAGAGTTCTAAGTGTACGTAAACATGTGTTGAAAAAAACATATTTGATTTTTATGTAGTTTTCTAATATGGATTTTTGCTTTCTTCTTAACAATGTATAATAATTCTGTATTATATGATAATACATGATTAAAAAATGAAGATATTACCTCTGTCATCTCTCTTTAGCCCTATCCAAAAGTTTGGAGATTTTCCATGAAGTATCTTAATGGTTTCTGCCAGAAAGTTTGCTTCAGTATAGTCTCCTACAGATACCAAGTCAGCAGCTGAAAAGCATTAATGCATACATCATGTCTCCTTTTTTTACAGGTTAAGTAGCAAAACACTTGAAAAATATTACTGATTCAAGTAGCATTCACAAGTCTTGTTATGGTTATTGTAATACTATATTGTATATTGAGCATGAGCGATCTGTGTGGCTACAAGTCAGTAAGAAGACAGGGATTTTTTGTTTAGTCTTCTGCAATTTAGAGAAGACAAATTGCTCTCTTTCAACGCTTTTGGATAGATCCAGCCACACTCCAGACTGCAGGTAGGCTGAAAGTGATATGTGGGATGTTTTCAGCACCATGCATCCTGTCACTACAGCTCTGTCACTTGCCAGTGGCTGGGCAGCATTTTTAGCAGTACTTGAATTGTGAAGGTGTTCAGTTGGACTAGATTATCTTGGAGATCTTTTCAAACCTTGATGATTCTACGATTCAGCATCCAGAAGTTATTATATTTTCCAAACCCCCAGCAGTACCAATTCACACGTGTTATGAAACCAGGAAATCACCTATCTGATTTTGCCATGGGTTGTATGTGCTGCAGAAGTGTAGGAACCTACAGCATGCACAAATGTTCAAATGCAATTTTTCCTTCTTGCTACTAGGTTACTTGCAATTAAAAAGAGTACCACTCAGAAATACAACATCGATGCATAGGATGTCTCCTATTCTTACTTACACTAAAATGTAAGCTGTTTCACAGTAATGCTCAGTTAAAAGTAAAGAGAAATCTGAGACGTGGAATAAAACATTGACCCTAATCCACATAGACTTCTTTTCCCCACACTACAGCTGACAGCTTGAAGTGCTTCCAGAGCAGGACAGAGTGTGTTTTACTGATTCATGGAAGCCAGGTGACTCCTCAATCTCATTTATGGTCCAGACATTCAGATTAAACAGTGCCTTGGTACTAACAACAACATCAAAAACGCAAACAAACGAAAAAACCTTTCCTACAAGTGTTCTAGTTCATGTTGTGAACTAAAAGAGTTTTTCTTTTTTCTCCAATTACCGATTTCCATAGAACTAGTAGGAACTTGTTTTTTGTTTTTTGGGTTTTTTTTTAGATAATGTTTCTCCTGGTAATTGAGATATCAAGTATATTATGAAATGTCCTGAATCTCGTTTTCCTCAAAAAGCAATCTAAAAGCATCATTTGAAGTTTTGAAGTAATATAAGGCATTAATATCAATATCACCCATTATTTTATGAATTTCACTGCATCTTCAGTCTTTCTAAAACACAACAACTCACCTAGTCGGGCACACTCCTGATGAGCTTGAGACCAGCTTTTTTTCCTGACAGCCTCAAAGTAGTAGCAGTGACCATGGAAAGGTATCCAAGACTTGTGTCCTTTTGATTCAGGGCATTTTCCAGGAAGCTGAGGGGGCTCAGTAGGGGCCATTACTAATAAGAAATAGGTATTGGAAGTTTTAATTTTTTTTTTCCCATTATACTTATATAAGACAAGATGAAAAAACCTGTATTAGGTTTGTCATCAGAGAACTGAAACATGTTCTAATAAGAGCTTGAGTACAGCTTTGTGTGAGAACTTACTTCACTTCTTTTATTTGTCAAGATAGATACACTAGGCTGTAAGAATTGTGAATTATCTGTAATTATGATTTTTGTCATGAATAAGTCAATAAAATATCCAACTGGTTTTCTAGCATAAATATCTGCCTGACTATTTAAAACTTATTTTAAAAATGGTTTCTGACTTCAGCATCAGTTTTTGACAGGATCAAAACCTTGTACCAGAAACTGTAGTTGTGAATGAAAGGGTTATAACTTAACACAGCTTGCAGAGTTTTTTATTAAACTGCATCCTAAATAAATTCCATAGTGATCGATACATTAGGAAGATTTTGGATGAGAAGATAAATGCAGATGGAAAGAAAATTAAATGCTCTGCCAAATTGCATTTTCTTCCTGTGAGTCTTCCACAGTCCACTTCTCCCCTCGTTAAGGAACATTCAACTCTCAAATTAGATTTCCATAATATTGAAGTAGAAAAGGATATTATATATAAACTCCAAGGATTTTATTTTGTCAAATTACAGCATCATGAGATGTAAAATTGCATGCCAAATCACATTTTCTAATAGTTCAATATCTTCCATAATATTGAAGAAAACAAGAATATTTTGCTGAACCATAAAATTAGAAGGTTCTTCAGTGGGTTATACTTTGTCCTTGTGCTCACAGGTGACAAGTTGATATATAATTACATCATTTGGAACAGATGTTTGTCATTGCTATTCTTAGCAATTCTTCCAGTAATAGAAATTCTCTGACCTGTCTTTAATTTGTGTTTTCTGTATTTTCTCCTGTGTTTGGTAAAGGCTTTGGATTCGTTAAAAATCAAGTTTTTCTTCCTGTATTTCTGTCTATTACTCATTTTCCATATCATATCAGATAAAAGAATAATTAAATTCAATTTCTTTAGGGTTGGTTTGCAATATTTAAATTTGATCATCTGTTTAGATGAATTATTTCCACCATTTTTTAATTAATTAATCCATTTCTCTTAGCATTCTGTTTCTTAGTCATTTGCACAATCTCAATTATAATCTTCCTTTATTAATTCTTGTTTTCTAGTAATCTGAATATCCTATTTGAATAGCAGTCTTTTCAATTTCTGATACCCCAAACTGTGTACAGAACTTCATGAATGAAGTTTCTGAGTAGCTAAGTAATCGATGTCTTGATTTCTTAGGGTTCTGGTAATGACTATTATGAATTTTATTTACTTCCGGGAAGAATTCCCAACAACACTTAATGTGTGTAATGCTGTAATGGGATGATAACAGCAGGGTGGCAAATTCTTTGGCTATAACAAATGATAATGAGCCCAAACAGATGCAGAAATGAAGGAAAAAAGAGCTGCTTACCATTGGAAGGCCTCAGTTAGGCAGGGATTTCTGGCAAGAGATGCCCTCACCTCCACTGCCAACCCTTAAATGAGGTCTGGGAAGGGGTGGATCCTGGCTGCATCCCTTCCAGTCACTCAGGTGCATTCCAAATACCGGAGCTCCTCAGGGCTGGCCCTGCCTTCCCACCAGATGCTCAATCACTGTTTCAGGACATTACTTAGCATTTCTACCACAATGTGTTAGTTAGCTGCTTATGTATTCTGATATACTAGTGCATAAGACAAGGTGCTTTATTATATTAGCACAGTTGGTAGATCCTCACACCCTTTAGCTAAAACATATTAAATCACTTACCATCTGACTTCTTACAGATGGAAAAGAGTTTCTCCTCGCATGAAGCTGTCTTCCAGGTTCCATCAGTATCTAAGTAGACACATGCTAATGTCTGTTTTGGTTCCCTGCTGGACCACTTGCTGTAAACTAATCTCCATCTGTCAATCCAATGATACTTGCCCCCGGTCTGGAAGTAAAATGCATGCAGTAATTTCAGGGATGCTGAGAGTCATAAACCTACTACATAGGGTCCTTAGAGGACTCTCATGTAACCAGTATGGATTGAAATGCTTACAATTGCCACTTTTTTGTGCTTGCTAAACTGCAACAAGATGTGCAGTGTCTGTTATGCACAGATATGACTGCAGAGTAATTTTCTTTCAGTCATCCAAAAAGTATCTACCAGTAATTCAGAATATTTTTTGAGTATGGGGATATGGAATGGTGAAATATGAAAAAAAAAAAAAAAAAAAAAAAAAAAAGGAGGGAAACATGAGTGAAGACAGAAAAACTGAGAATTAGGTAAGACAAAGTTGGTATCTCCACCCAAAAAGTCTGCATGTTGTGGGTGGATGTGTTCTTAATAAGCAATGCTTATTGCTATCACTTTGGTTGTGGTATCGTGACTGTGATTCATGTGGAAGAGTGTACCATGTCAAAACACACCTACCATCCAAATGTTCACCCTCCTACCTCTTACAGTTGGTACATACATCTCAAAGACAGAGATTATTTTTTTTTCCCCCATAATATTCTAAATTTTTAGAGGAGAGAAATTACACCAGGAAGAATACTTTCATTGCTCAATATGTGCAATTACCGTGTTATATAGACTACAGATTCCTTTATGCAATTTTTGCCCTTCGTTCTTTTCAGGAATATATTTTTCTACTGCTAACCATAAATAGTTTTTGTCTAAGATAATTATTTTGGAACGTAAACACATACATAAAAAAAAAAATCATCATTCATAGATTTCTGATATACAACTAGTCACAAATGTCTGAAGTAGATAAAAACAGGAGAGGAGGGCAGGGTGTACCCTTGCATATCATTTCTGGCATACATATTAGATTAAAATAAGTTTATGATGGGGGAGATTTCACAGTTTATCACTTAGACCCTTTAATGGCTCCAAACCATGCACAACGTTGTTAAGTACTGGCTTGCAGGAGTATTTCCTTGTGCTAAAGCACCTTAGAGTTCTTAGTTAATTAGAATCTCCTCTGTATGAGTCCTTTTTGATGAACAACATAACAGATAGGTAATGCACTGACATAATGTGTTGCTTTAAGCAATACGCTTTCAGAAATTGCTATAGATTTCAAGATGAGAGCATTCAGTAAGACCAGAACCTGCAGGCTTAACTGTCTGTAATGCACGTGTTCTTACCATGTAGCTGTTAAGACCAATCCACATAGGCTGCCCATATTCCTGTGCAATTAAGAACAGTAGTGACTGGCTATATGGGTCTAAAATGCTAGCAAGTTCTGAGGAATTGCTCTTGCAGGATTGTTGTGCTTCCTCCCAATTCATTTTGGAAAGGGTGAAAGAGTAGCTAATGCCATCAGAATGGTCAAAAGCGAAGTCCAACAGTGTTGCTGATGACGTGTAGAGTTTAGGGTCTGTGGGAATAAAAATAACAATGCCAAACAGAAGAACACAAATCTGCAGGACACACGTTTGGCTTGAGCAACTGAATAACATCACTATTATTTACAGACGTACTAAAAGATTTCTAATTTTCTTTTTTTTTTTGTTCTTTTTTTTTTTTTTTTTATTCTTTTTTAGGTGCTAATAAGACAGGTTGAGGGAGCTGCACTTGTTCAGCCTGGAGAAAAGAAGGCTGTGGGATGACCTCACTGCAGCCTTTCAGTACCTAAAGGGAGCCTACAAACAGGAGGAGAGTCAACTCTTTGAAAGAGTAGATAACTGCAGGACGAGGGGAAATGGTTTGAAGTTGAGGGAGGGAAGATATAGGTTGGATGTCAGGGGGAAATTCTGTACAGAGAGAGTGGTGAGGTGCTGGAACAGGCTGCCCAGAGAGGTTGTGGATGCCCTGTCATTGGAGGTGTTCAAGGTCAGACTGGATGGGTCCCTGGGCAGCCTCGTCTAGTATTAAATGTGGAGGTTGGTGGCCCTGCGTGTGGGAGGGAGGTTGGAGATTCATGATCCTTGAGGTCCCATCCAACCCTGACCATTCTGTGATTCTGTGATAATTTGAATGGAATATCTTCTCATTCATTTTTTAATAAGTAACAGATAGCTTCAAAATAACAGTGCAATTTCCAGATTAAGTAATTACATTTTCAGCCACTAGGGACTTCAAATCAGTAAATTCACTGAATTTTACATAGCAGGGAGTCAGAAATAGCACACATACTCTGCACATTTTCAATATTCTCTTTGTGGCTTAGTATCTTCACAACTCTGTCTGTCAAGTTTATTTGGAGAAATGTAAAATTTACTTACCAATTAGGATAATTTCTAGATTATTATGAACTTCTGTAAATAAAATGCTTAAGATTTTTAGTTATTCAATTAAACTATTTAAAAAAAAAAAACATTTTGCTTTTATAAATTCTTTTCTCCAAAACATTTCCAAGTAACATTGCATTGCAAGATGGTCTCTTAAGTTTTACTGATCTTTTGTCTATAACTAACCAACTATGAAAAGATAAGTGTGATCTAAATTATGTTAAAAAGTGATTTTAATTTTGTCATTATGAATTCCAGGATTAGTGATACAGAACTCACTGCTGTTCTTCTGGCATATATATCCACTGGATTTATAACATGACTCATCACTCCATTTTCCTATATCAGTATAATCTCTCTTCAGAGAAACACAGTCATACTGTTGGAGAAAGGGAAGGAATATGACAGTCAGTACATTAATATTAGTTTAGTATTAGAAGTTATAAAAATAAGTAAAATAGCTATGGGAAGTTTCATGCCTTTTTTTTGTTTGTTTTTTGTTTTAGTTCTGGGGCTCATATTACAACTCAAGAAACACCTTCCTCTTTTCTTTTTCTCTCATCTCAGGCCTCCTCTGTGGTGGTTAGCTCTACAAAGCTTACTCTGAAGAAGTAGAAGATGATGATAATGAAATAGGAGTAGAGCAGATGGGCAATTGCTTCTAATGGTAGAGCAATTTTTCAGTGATATTTCACTCCTTTGAAAATCATGGTATAATAGAATATCCTGAGAAGAGACCCTGGAAGAGAACCAGAAGGATCATACTAATTCTAGTTCCACACAGGACCACTCCAAATCCTAACCCTAGGTATGAGAGCATTGTCCAAATGTTTCTTGAACTCCAAGACACATTTGGGGTTGTGACCACTGTCCTAGGGAGTTGAAGGTAAGGATTCTCAGAGAGTGATAGTATGTTCAAGGCAAAGGAGAGAATTAGAATGTACCTTTCTGCTTTCTGATTTTTGTTTTGTTTGTTTCAGGATGTTTCCCTGAAGCACTAGCAGAGCTGTAGTGAAATTGTGTCAAGTGTTGTGCTGTTTGTCTTCCTACACACCTCAGACAGGGACAAGATCAAAATGGGCAAAAGCACAATGAATTAATTGAGGTGAAATTTAAGCTAGCTCTCTGGCTTCTTTGGGGGAGGGAGATACAAAATGAGGGGAGGTTGGACAGCACGTAGAGTAGTCACACTGAAAATGAAGGGTAAGTTCTGAAAAGATAGGGAAATAAACGGGAGAAAGTGGTTTGCACATGTGGAAGGCTATTGTATTTACAACATTATGGCATTTTATTTCAGACCTGGTAGTGAAAAGTGTTTTGTTGGTTTGGAAAGCAGTTGGCATTTATCCTCCTTTAGTAGTTTAGTTACAATTTTAAAGAAGAAGTAGAAAAAAATTCAACTGTTGCATGCTCTCTTCCTTCATTTTCCAGCATGATTTAATTTAGCAAACATGTGAAATTGTTTCCAGTATGCTAGCTTCTAAAATTTGACTGCTATACTTGCATTTTCTCCAAAATAGAGAGCACATTAGTATGAAAAAGAAAACTTCATTCAGTCAAGCTGTCCCAGAATTTTCCCAAATTCTTAGGCAAATGTGCAACAATAACATTCTCTTGTGCTATGTGTTAGTTAGTATATTCAAACATTAAGGCACCGTAATGGTCATCCCAGTTTATAGATAATTGAGTAAGGCAGGGAAAAGCTGAGGCAAACTGAGATGCTTAATTGAAGTGATGCTGTTCTCCACATTTAATCTTACGGTAAACTCTGAGCAGTATTTACCTCCATTCGATTGCCACCATCTTCTGGATGGAGGCTGTCAAACAAAACGGGTTCATAAAGTTTTGGGGAATCTGGAGCCCAATTTGTATAGGAAACAGCACTTCCATCAGCCCAAACAAAGTTGAGTTCACTAATTATATCATTCAAGCCAATCCAGGGATTGTATAAAACATCCTTCAAATGGTAAGTGAGAAAAGCTAGGGGAAAAAAAACACAATTGAGAAGAAACTGAACATGTCATGTAATCAGTCAAAACACCAATCAAGACATCAGGTAATAAAAAAATCTGTAATTATTTTGCTTGCTTTATTAAAATCTTGTACATATACTCCAATTAGCTTTTAATCAGGAATGTACCCAATTCTGTCAAGTTTATTATGTCAGAATTTTACCAAGCCTTTGACCATGAAACATCTCAATGAACGAAAGCACTAGGAATTATAAGAAAAGATCAGAAATAAGGTAATACAGAAGAAAAGCCACCTGACCATTTGGCATACAAATTCATTTATTTCAACCTTCAGGATGAGTTGATTGATGGATCTACAAATAGAAGCCTAAAAATATAGTCCAGGTGGAAATGTGTATTTAACAATGTATTCCTGAATTACTTTGCAGAATTTAGACAGTCATTTGAGAGGTCTAATAATATAGTCATTTCTATTTATGGCAAAAGTAGACCATGGGTTCTTCTTCGTTCCCTCTGTCAAACTCTACAAGGACCAGGTTGAGAATTTACTATTCTATGCCAATTCAAATTCTATGAAAAATGTAAAGCAGCTTGCATGGAATGATAGAGCAAGCAAGCCATAGTATAACTAGCATGAAACAGATAGCTCCAGTTTTTCCAGAAATGTTTTATGCCATGACCATATAACCCATATTGAGTATATGTATTATAAAATAAATATATCTACATACTGTCTCATCTTGCTGTGTTTATTTTCAGGAAATGAACAATGTTTACAGAACAAGTGCTATTATCTAAAGGGCCGTTGTACTATACCTTGTACTTGTTCATTTTGTATGGTAGCCAGATGTCCTCCAAGGTTGATACAATCTGTATTTGCAGTATACCAATATTGAAATTGAGAACCAAAAAATTTGTAACACTAGGGAAAAATAATTTAGGTCATCAGAGAGTGACAGCGAAAGGAATTTAGGCATGCATGACACCTGTTAAAGTAGAAAATAACCCCATCGGACCAGAAAAGAGCTGGCAGGGACTTAGCTGTAGAACCAAGGCAGAACTTTTCATAACTTTAAAATGTATTCCCTAACTTTCTGGAAGGAACTGTGAATGGCAGAACAAAATCCAAGCAACCATTTATAATTCACAGAACCTTATGTGTTAACTAGCTGTGCTGGAAAAGCCATACTCCATCATCAGACAAAGAAGTGCTGTCAATAAATACATAAAAAGCCAAGCCCAGGATTCCATTTGAAATCACGTGAACTTTTTGAGAAGTATTTTTGACATGTAAGATGTTCTAATTGAGCATTATTTCTGATTAATTCCCTCTCAAATGACTGACTGTACAACTAATGTTGACTCTGTCAGCTGAATTAAGTTCCATCTTTTTTAAGTACATACTATTAAGATTTATTCCATGATAGTTTAGATGACCACTCTTCTGAAAAATAATAAATATATATATGACTATAAATGTTATCATTTTTTAAGAATTAGCTAACTGGTTAAATTTTAAATATGACTTCAGAAAAATCACTGTCAAAAGGTGTCTGGGAGATAAAAGGTCCCATTGTATAGCTATAGGTACATTCCCCAAGGTCTGATATCACTGCGTATAGGTGCACACTACCAAACCTGATTTTTAAATAAAAGCCAGTCTTCAGGACATCCTCCTGGAGGTGAAGTTACTGCTGGAGAAAATGTGGCATTCACAAAACTCCCATGTCTCTCACAGATAAAGCCATGTGAATGACCACAGCTAACATCATTCCACAAACCTGAAGTTTAAACACAGATAATAAGACATTACGTAAAAGACTGAAATTTGGAAAAGTGAGCTTGTATTTCTATATATCTATAGCTTTGAAAACACTCTGCTGAGGAACGTCAGACTGTATTTCAGCTGGAAACTACATCCTATCATCACTTGCAGGACTTTAGTCCTGCTGTGACTGTAGGAGTACTGCCCATATGATGTGGCAGACATGACAACTGCCTTGCCTCTGAATAAAACCCACCAACAGCTTTGTTATACTCAAGCCTGCAAATGTAAAGTAACACTTTCTCAGTCAAAGTCAATTTCATATATACCACTCTTATGGCTAACATTGTCCCTTAACTAACATCAGATATAATGACCATACTTTTTACATATATTTTTCCCCAGATTACTGGCAAAAAAACCAACACAGATTTACAGTTAGAAAGACACATTTAATAAACAAGAGAAGAGTAATAACTAAAAAAATATGTTTCTTAAAAAGTGCAACTCACCATATTTTTTATCTAAGACCACACAGTGTTCTTGAGCAGAGGCAAAGTTGGGTTCCCCTTCTGCCCAAGGTGCATAGTGTAAAGTACTTCCATCTATCCATCTGAAAAACATGAAAGTAATATAGTAGCTGTTAGACTGTGTTCATTGAACAGCTCAGGAAAAAAAACTATGCTAAAAATATATATTTTTATGTATTTACAGCTGAGTCTGTCTGTAACTAGATTTAAACAAGGTTAAAAGATTTTAGATAACGAGACGCATAACAAATCAAAAAGCAAAAATACCTTCATTTTTAATAGATACTATCTATGTATTGGAAGCATGGATATTATCTATTAAAACATAATTTAAACCAGTGATTTTACAATGCAGTTAGACCGACAGGAGCATACATTTCAACATAACCAAAATTGCTTATGAGGTCCTTGCAGGAGTACATCCAGAAGGAACTCTGGCTGTGCAAAACTTTTGCTCTGTTTTTTTTTAATGGATCATAATATAGCACATTTACCTACCTAAACTGTTGGTCAGCATTCAGGATTAATCCTATGAGATATGAATGCAGTTCGCCATTTTTTAAGATCTAAACACATGAAAAAAAAAAAAAAAAAGTACTTTCAGTTAGTGCTTTCTGTTACTTACTAGTTTTCTAATAGGAAAAAAAAAAAAAAAGTGTTTTTTTGTGCTATTGATGCAAAGAGATAAATACATATTGTTTGAATGAACATGCATAGGCACCAGACAGAACTCCTGTTGAACTAAATACCATAAATCACATAATTCTGCTTTGTGACTTCATTGCTGCTTCACTACATTTGACTGCCTTACTGGTATAATCAAAGCTTTCAAAGTTGGTTTGTGCTCTCAGTTTTGAAAGATACAAGGAAGAGATGTGAAATGAAAATAAAATAAAATATTTTAGTTCTATTCAGTAAGTAAATCTTTATTTTCCTCTTAAGCTGCAGTGTAATTTCTGTATCTCAAGCTGTCTGTTCACTATTCCTTTCATATCCCTTTCCACACAAAAGCAAACATCTAATATAGTGTAACACAGACAGTAGGCTGTGTGGCAGCTTTGACATTAATAAACCAAATAGTGTTATGGCAGAGGTCTGAGCCAATATCCATGCTATTTAACAGTAGGCATGCCCCTGCCATGGGCATGTACCCACTAGCATCATCTCAGGTGATGTCTGGGCAGTGCTTTTGAAATACATGACTAGTTTTGAGATATTTTGCAGCAAAATTAATTCATGAGGATCTTGATTATTCTTCAGTTCTTCAATCCCTGACCTGGACCAGGCTAAACCTCTCTTTGAAAAGTTTTTTAGGGCAGCAGCATGATGCGGTGTGTCAGAGCTACCCTTGCAGTAGCCTCAAATCTTTGTATAACACCACCGAGAACATGGCTAAAAAGTAGATTTCTGTTCATTGCTCCTTATACGTTTAGTTATATATTTTTTTTCACTGAATATTGAAATTACTGCTAATAAAATATATTAATATTATGCAACAAGCATGTCCTCCTGTACTTCACAAGCATATGTAGCAGAATATATATGCTGTATATAGAAAAATGTAATCAAATTTCCTCTTACATATTTCCACAAAAAAATTCTTTGATTATTATCTCCAATAATAGCAAGATCTCCACGGTGCTTTCTGCAGAACGTTCTGGCTTTTTCCATAGATGTACTTTCTGTGCTGAAAAAATACTGTTTGTCCCCCTTTATAATCCAGCCATCTCCTGTGACTTCATACACTGCAACACAGAAGAAGAGTCTGCATTCTGCACAGACCGTGAAAATTGCTGTTGTTACATGACAGCATCCTTTGAGTGTGAGGAGATAAACAGGAGCTTACTGGCAGAAGGGCTGACAGGTTCTGGCTTCAAGAGTGTTCCTGTAATGAAATGAGAAAAAAAGATGTAAAATATTTTCCAACTGTTGAACCAACGTAGGTGTTCAGTTAGCAGAAATGATCTTAGTGACAATCAAAGTTTCATAATTTTTCTGTAATAAAATGAAAGAGTGAAAATACTATACTTGGATGTTGATATACTTTGCACAATAATAAGAGATTCCATATAGGTATTGTCAAATCTGAACAAGAATTTCAGATTCTAAACAAATTTCTTCTTATAACAACATGTATATTTACTATTCATTTGTTGGTGAAACTTTTTTTTTCTGTGATATTACCTTGTGAAGAATCACATTTGACTGAAAAGCCACCAACTATCAAGAAAATTTAAATTAAAAAAAGATATAACACTGAGTGGAATATTGGAGTCATGTATCTAAACTTGAAAGACCAAACTATAAAAATACAAGACAAATGCCATCTTTATTTTTTTCCCCACAGGAGTTCAACATAATATTTCTATTTCTATATCTGTAATTGCATTAAATGAAGTGTGCAACATATAAGCTTTGTTAAAAAAAAAATTAAAAAAAAGTTTGCCACCTTTTAAAAACAATTACTTCCATGGTTGGTTGAAAGATGTAAAAGAAAAAAAATATGTAAGTTCCAGAAGCACAAAGTATTAGGACTGCTTCATTATGACATTATGTACTACTGACTAATGACGGTGATTTCTTTGGACTGTAATTGGTGCCATTCATACACTAACAGTAACTAATAAAATAGACAACTGCTGTTGACGCTTTTACAGATAGTTCTTAGTTGTACTGATAATTGAGTTGAAGAATTGCAAAGTAACTACCAAAGACATCTGCACAGCATCTCTTTCAGATAGATATCCGCGGCTGCTACTTTTTAAGCATGAGAAGCTGAGACAATGCGAATAAACGTGGATCAGATTATTCTGAAAAATTAACAAGCACCAAAATAGTCTGCAATGGCGAGGTATCACTTTGAACATTGCTCCTCACACACTGCATGAAGGAGCCTAAAAAGAGCCACCAAAGTAACTGTTCTAAAATGTGCAACTCGATAGAAAACCTTAACAGATTCTTCCCTTATTTCTTCGTAGTTGCAGTAGTAACATTTTGGAAAACAAACAAACAAAAATTATCATACAACATAAAGTTTTAAAAATAAGGCAAAACAAGGTTGATAATTTTCAGTTGAAGCATTGTATTCTGAATGAATTTATATGCTTTGGCCTATTGCTCCACATACAGACATCCTATAAATCAACCAGATTTTCTTTGAGCACGTAACTTGCATCACACTATCCTAAAATATGAAAACCTGCAACAGAAATGGTTTTCTAGAGGGATCTTAAAGTAAGATTTAGCCTACCTTTCTTTATTTCACAAATCCAGTCCTGGCTGTATTCACAGTGCGTGTTAATCCAGGAGACAGAATGCTCTTTGCTGATTGCTCCGCAATTTTCTAATGGAGCGTCATAAAAAGAAATTGTTTTCATATAACTCACCTACATTAGAAACAGATAAGAATAAAAATCAAAGCAATAACAGGGAAAATAGCTGAACTCTGGAAGAAAAGAGAGGTAGCTCCAAAGTTTCGAACCTCTCATTTTCTGTGGTTGCACAGCCCATGTGGGCTATTAAAACACTATAGCATTTTGTAAGGAAAAAAAAAAAGGCTCTCATCTTACACAGCATTCAGCGGACTCCAGCAGTCACATTAAACCTTTTTGCTCTGGTTTGGAACTGAATGAAGTTATAAATCAATAGCGGGGAAAGGAATGTGGCAATATATCACCACCACCAAATAAAATTTGGAGAGATGATTCTCATCTACTTACCACCTAAATACTTATCTCCTTACTGGAACTTCATGCATTACATGGAACTTATCATTGCATTGATGGTTTCATCTCGTGGTTTATAACTTTTTTTCTTTTCAAATGAGTATGAGGAACACTGATTTAGGATTACCCAATGGTAAGGCAATCATTCCTGGTAATTCCTAATACAACTTTCATCCATATCAGTCATGAAAATAGCCTTAACAGTAAAAGAGTCAGAACTGAAAGAAACTGGGAATGTTGAGTTCTCACCGGGGATCCGTCACTCCAGGACAGCCCACCATCAGGATCCAAACGCTGCAAACCTATCCAGAAAAGCTGAGATGATGGCAGTTTCTTTCTATAACGTGAAAAGATATGTTGTGAAGAAAAGGATACATTAGCTACATGTAAGCTACATAGCTTACATGGAACAATCGCTCTCACACCTACTGAAGGATTTGAGGACTACTCAATACTTTGAAACCAATGATATAAAAGTGTATGTAACAGCTGAAAGGATGGAAATACCTGGTCTGTCATAGTGAGATAGGTATAAGTGCTTCAGAGGATTCAAAGACTAAATGGTTATTACATATTTATTTTACTTACGTTATTAAGTTTTCTATCACTCTTTGCTCTTCTTCACTATTAACAGCAGCAAGATCTCCTCCTATTTCTCTGCAGAAATCTCTGGCTTCAAACCATGTTTTCTTATGTTTTTTTTCTCTCACAAAAGTCTGTAAATAAATTTTAAAGTAGAAAACTATACTTGAAATGTATAAAATAAGTCCGCTGACTGCCTTGTACAATCAAAATAGGACAACATTACATTAAGATTATCACTTATAACACAGATTAAAGAATATGCTACTCGGATAACCCTAAGTATCACTGATACAGAGACCATTGCAGTGATTTCCTTAGGCACTCTGTGTAAAAGCTCACTACATTCATACAATGAGGTGTCACTCTCTGAAGCTTAGACTTTTTATCTTTCGTCTCATGAGAAGGATTATAGTAAAAAATAACACTTACTCTGAAGCAAGAATTAGTGCTATTACTGGTATTCCAACCCAAAGGACATCTGAAATTAGAATTTTTTCCAGGAGCAAATGGATGAGTTATTTTTTCAGCTGCTTTTTTGCAGAGAAATTTTGCCTTTATTTCACAGTTCTGAACATCCCATAGTCCAGCTGCACTTCCAGTTCTTAGGGCAACACAACCTACTTCTTTCCCTTTGTGAAATATAAAAGAAAATTAAAATGTGTTTTCAAGTAGTTCCCCTGCCATTTATTTATTTATTTATTTATTTTACAGCTCACGCAATTCATTTACAAAAGACCGTTTGAAATATTATCTGTAGCGTCTGCTCAGTGGAGAAGCTTTCTAAAAAGAGGACAACAGAGAGCAATGCTTTTCCCCTTTGAAAAGCATTATAGCTTAAGTGCATTCACTTCCTCATGCCTAGCTTGCTCTTTCCTACGCCACTCGCAGGAAGCATTTGGCAGCCTGTCACCCAGAAGGGATGAGGAGCACCTAGGAACATACTTCTGAAATGCCATCTTCAGCATCTCATTCTCTGCTTTTGAAAAACTAGTGGGACAATGGTCTATGACTGTCAAAAGCAACTTCTGTTTATTACTTAGAGGCAATCTTAACTTCTAAGCTCTTAGCCTAACCAAAATTCTAGATTCCCTGTCTGTGAAGTGTTCACATTCTGAGAACTCATCCCACTGTTTTGTTTTGGTTGTTCGTTTTTTTTTTTCTTTGAGTAGTCTTGACTGCTATTATAAAGATATTAAACTTCTTTTTAGCTTAACTTTAATAAGACAAATCCCATCCTAAGTCTTTAAGGATATGCCTAAACTGTGAATTGAAAAAATAATGCATAGATTTCTGAGCAAGAATTAAGTGAATTGCCTTCTGTAGCAAAAGCAGAACAGCTGTGCCAGTACAAAGATGAAAGGACCAAATGAGTCTGAGCTTAGCAGTTCATTTACACAGTCCTCCACTGTCAAGACACAGGCACTTTATCTAAGTGTGATGCTACACTGCAATCCCAATGGCTCCCTGGGAGCTAACTCAGGTACTTCCAGCATAGTGCTGCATTGCATGGCATCAACTCCTCCTCAGTTAACAATGAAGACAAGTTGAAAAAAAAATAGACAGAAGGAATAAAATAGAGATTACATTGGAGTGGCAAAAAGCTCTTTGCAACCCGAGACTGAAAACCTCAGATAGTCTAAAAACTCTTACTGTAATGTTTCTTATGTGTTTTTTTTTCCTCAATTCTATCACTTTAATCTTTTACACTCAGTTTGATTTTGCTCTTGTAAGCCAGGAAATAATTATTTCTATGATGTCATATTCCAAAGACACTTCTCGTTAATATTTCAAAAGCAGAATGTTCATGTGTGTCATCATAGATGTGTTTTACTAATTGCTAGTTGGGAAAGAGTTTAGTATTACAATACAAATTTCCTCAGTAGCACAAATCATTTCAGAAAATAGCTCTATAAAGACTTTATGTGAAGAGTCACTCTGACAACCACAGCAAGTGATTCAAAAGAGCATTTTCTTTCCTAGCTATGAGAAAGAAGTGTGAAATTCTGCCACATCAGAAACTGAATATTTAATATTCACTTGCCATCAGAGTAAAATGTTATAGAGTGGGAAATATAATTGGCAGGGAGTCCTAGTGATCTGCATTACTTACTCAATAACACTGGGAGAGCATTTAAGATACTGAGTTCTGATGCTCCCAATGTTGGAACAGTAGTTAGAAAAGATGGCATCACCTCTTTGATGGCCAGGTGGGAGGGAAGAAAGCTGCCTGATTACTACATTCTGGCTTCCATGCAGAAATTTGGGTAGGGCTGCTGAAATGCAGAGGATGTTGTTCCATCATATATGGAACATCATATCCATCAAACATCCCACTTGCAGCAGGGAGTTCAGGGGGTTGGGAGGTACAGAAGGGGCAAGTAGACCTCAGAGAGTCAACAGCTGCTCAAGTCTGCCATGTCAACAGGGAAACAGATGTATTAGCCATTTGTTTAGGTGTTATAAAAACAGAGAGCTGTTTGGGGAGCTGGGAGCGTAGAATTTGTTGCAATTGAGAAAAGTCCTTACAGTGCTGAGTTCAGAGCCAGAGAGAAGCAAGCTGTTTGCCAGTGCATGGGAAGGAGGAGGATGTCTGGCTGCCAAGCTGTCCTGCCTATTCTGCATTTTGTTTTTAAAATTGGTTCTTACAGTGTACATTAAATAGAACTAGCTGCAACGATTAAAAGGAAACAAGGAAACTAACCCTTGTGGTGCTGGAAGTGCTTACGCAGAGGTGCTGGCAGAACACCACCAAGCTCCAGCTGCCTCCAGGCCCTGCCATAGCAGACTAAACTCCTGTCACCAGGAATCAGCCCCAGGGAGCCCAGAAGTAATCCCAGAGCTGGAAATGACACCAGCTGGAGCATATTTCTGATGATCCTACTGTAATTTATGACTGCCTGTTGAATCAACTATTGAAATGTTTTCATTTGCTAGACTAAGTCAGACAGATGTCTGGAGTATCAGGAGGAAAGCCCTATGATAGTTTCCTCTGACCAAAACCTCAAACCATGGCTACTTGCAGTTAGTTTCACAACCCTAAACGCCAGAGACAGCTAAATGCAGCACCACAGAAAGGAAATGTTGCAGGGGCATAGTAAGGATTGTCTGTGGGGAATAGATACTGCCAAGACCAGGCTAAGATCTGGGGTCTCAGTGAATGTCTGAAGCACCCACATCTCTTTGCTGAAAAGCCAATGTGGAGGGAAAAGGTGTACACATACCTTAAGTCTCTTTTCCTTTATATCTCTAGCTCTGTGAAATGAAACATGCCTGAAGAAGGCCACTGTGATGACAATGCCTGAGTGATTGTAGGTGCTGAGAGAAGAAAGCACAGCCAGGTGCCATCAATACAGGGCAAGGGAGCAGAAAAACTGGGAAGATTCATGCCATAACTTGCAAAAACATACAGCATGACATCTTGGGAACAGGAATGCAAAAGTATAACTGAATGCCTAACCATGACGGCATTTCCTATGCAGCATTTGAAAGCATAAGAATTGCTGTACCTATCTCTTCTTAGCCTGGGGCTTTTAGGATCCAACTTTTAAGTACAAACTACAGAGACCGCACATACGAAGGAGTACCAGGCATTGCTGAGTTCCAGTTTGTGTAGAAAACGCCTTCACCAGTCTCCCACTTGAAGACTTCTTGCTCTTCTGTGTTGGAGAGACCAATCCAGAAGTACTTCTCAGAACTCAGACCAACGAAGCTGGTCAGGTAGGCTTGCTCATACCTGAAATGAGTTAGATGAAGATTAAACCTAGTTCTCCCTTAGCACTTTCTCAGAATCCTAAACTACACAAGACTGGAAAAAATACAGACTCCTTTAGTTTTAATCTTTCATGGAAATACCTCACTGGATTGAATATCAGAGGTATTAGCTCTGAAAGCATTGGAGGCTGAGCTACATTGAAAAGCTGCTCTTTGTGGGACAGAAGCAATTGTGGTCTTTTCTTTCAGAGTACTGGAAAGCATGAAATTATAACACTTATTTCATTAGAAAAGACATACTGTATTTATTGAGTACTTCTCTCCAAGATAGGCATTCTTTTCTTCTGGTTTCACTTTTTTTTTTTTTTTTTCCTCCAAAGAGTTCTCAACTGTTTTATAAAATGCCAAGATTATTTCATCACAAGTATAGTTCTTAGAATCTTTCAAACCTGTCTTCTACAGTTGTTAAATAGCTACCAATCCTTTCACAGGTTTTCACTGCTTCTGAAAATGTCACAGGTGCATGTCCAACTAGATAGCAGTAAGAACCATGTCTTGTCCAGCCCTGTAAAGAAGAATGTGTAAAATACACGTTTTCTGCAAGTGTATGTTTTAGTGCTTGCATTCCACTGTACGCTCTAAATCTATATATTTTAATATAAAATAACGCAGTAATATATCATTTGAAACCCAGGAGGCTCTTAATAATTAAGCTTAGTGAGCATGCAGAAAGATTTAATGCATATAAATCCCTCTCTTTGTTAACTAGTAAATCATTATTTCTAACTCATGGGAAAGTCAGAGGCACAGAATAAGTATTCAGAAGCGGACGAACAAAATATTCCTTACTGAGAATTAAAGTGTCTTTTGTAGTGAGACACTAAAAATTCCTTATGTTTCTAGGCTAAACGAACTGTAACTAAACTAATGTACTAATTTAACTCAACAGTTCACCTAAAAAAGTCTGATCAAAGAGGCAGCAGAAAAACTACTGGAAGATAAAATATTCATAATTACGGCTGAACTCTGATTTCCTCTTCCTTACTAGCTCAAGGTGTGCTTGCTGCACCCAAGAAAAGTTAAAAAAATAAATAAATAATATCTGTATTATGTGTTTAGCATCTGCCTTGTTCCAGAATGAACGTCAGCTCTTCCCTGCATAGGGTGATGAGAAATGCTACCAAATATTGAGCAATAGTAAACTGAGAAATAAAAGGAAGAGAAGGAAAGCAGTAGGATGAAAAACATATCCTAAAATTAAAATCAGTCCATAAACGTAAGTTGATTGTGTTGATTTGGGTTCATTCATATGACCTACATCACGTCCAGAAACATTTCCCAGAGTCTTTGATAACCACAGATGGTAGGAACAAAATAAGCATACACAGAACCACAATAATGACTTGACTTCTTCATGGGAAGGTTTTACACATAACAGGGTTGACTCATTCACACACACACACACACACACACACACACACACTCAAGATAACTTTATTAAAATAAGGCAACGTAGTGAAAATTATAACCCTTGATTTCCAATCACACTTGCTAGGGTAAAAAGGAACTTCAGCATCAAACGGAGCAAGTGAAGAGAATGGATTTTTGTTAAGCAGATTTTGCTTCTGTTTTAGTCTTACCTTTGTACAGGCAGGATCAGTCTTCACTGTTCCTGAAACTCCCTGTAGTGGCTCTCTTCTGCAGATGTAGCCTAACTTCCTATCACAGGCACTGTCCGCCCAATATCCATCCTACACACAGTTTGAGAATAAGTGAAACATAGTCAGGCAGAATCAGTTTTCTTTGAAAATATTCTTTGTTATTTATTTTTTTACAGTATTACTTCAATGGGAAAATGAGAATCTGTGTTCTTTGAATGAATTTCAAATTCTTGCTTAAATGTGAGGTTATGTTAAATGTCACTGTCAGGCTGTTAAGGTTTGCTTAGCAGCTAATGCCCACCCACAACCAGATACCAGCATTTACTCCATTATCGCAAATTTGACTTTCAATTCAATTTAGAACAAATATCCCTAACCATTCCCTGATCTAATGCATTCATAAGGTGATTAGAAATAAAAATCAAGCAGTACAGGTGTGATGATTTTACCTCCCCTGCCATGACAACACAATCTTCTTGCCCATTGATTGTATGGGTTGGTTCTCCAGGCAACCATTTGGTATATGTCACGGGAGTCTCATCACTCCACTCAAAATACATCTGAGTGCTGAAGTCATTCATCCCAAGCCAGAGCTCATCCATGGCTTCTAAAAACAGAAATCCACCTGCATGAGCGTGACAGTCTTACAGGAGAGAGATTTTATGGAGATGAGCTGAAATATCAGTTCATCTAGATTAAACAACAGTGGAATTTATTTTAAGACCTAATGCACATTCTTCGTCCAAGAAGCAAAAAATGTGAGATACCAGCAGGAAATGAGATTCCTTGGAGTATAATGGGCTTTTGATGATAAAGCTATCTGTAGCTACACTGTGTCTGAGGCAGATAATCAGCACAAATACTGCAGGAACTAGAGATGTTATTTCCTTCAAGTGTTTTCATGCCGTGAAAAACAAATGCAAATCAAACTGAAAACTATGAAAAATAAAAGTGCTAAAGATTCCTCTTGTTTTTGTAGGTTGTTGTGGTTTGGGTTTTTTTTTCTTAGCTCTGTATCTGTGAGTTTCCATGTAAATATTCATAGAAAACAAATAAGAAACTTTGTAAGATTTATGATATAGTTTTCCATTTCTCCCAAGCATCATTCCATAGAAATACTCACTGTAACCAAGCTGAGACAGTATGAAGGCATGCTCTTCAGGGTTGTGGATACTGGCCAGATTGCCATTGCTCTCATTGCAGGACATTAAGGCATCTTTCCATGCCCTGGGCTCTCTATGAATCATGTAACAGTGACCTGCATAGGGCAACCATCCTTCTGGGCATTTAACAGGTTCTGCATCCTCTCCAAAGAAAAACACATTTCACATTTTTAAATGATGCAATTAATGTAAAATAGCCACAATGACATTTCAAATCAACTAATTAATTAGTATGAAAACTTGTCAATTATAAATAAATACTATTTCTATTCATTCTTTCAATGTATAAAGCATTTTAGACAGCACAATGTGCTTCTAAAGAAAATATCCTCTATTTAAATAAAAGAAGACAGTAAGGGAGACAGTGATAACTGGACTTCGTTTGTGTAAAATGTTCACTTGTAGGTAGGGAAACATTTTGAAAAGCACAAAATGTTTTCACACAATATATCCTATCCAAACATATCTTAAAGGTATTACTACTGAAGCACAATAATTTTATGTGCACATAGTTTTCTGTAATAAGCCTCATTAAATAAATCACCAGAGGAGAAAAATGTAGGGGGAAAAGCGTAGTAGAAAAGTGGTCTGTAAGAAGCTGATATTCACCATTTTTGTAGGTCATGTGCAATCCCACCAAGAAGGTGGGATTGCACATGACTGCTGTAGTCTCACAGACTTCAATGATAAAGGTTTAGATCATTGCCTCTGGAATAATGAATATTAACATTAATTAGAAAATGTTTATGCAGTTGCTATATTCCAGGGACATCTCCAATATTTAAATATTTGATTTGAAATATAAAACATGTTTAACCCATTCTACTAAGCAAAACAAAAGAACAAATGAAAATAATTTTTCTTTTTAAGTAGCTGTAAAATTTAATCTTAATGAGTCAAATTACACTGTTATCAAATTTTTAGTTGCTCGACATACCTAATGGAAGACTGGAAGGACCCAGCGTGGAGTTTTCCTTTTTACAGATATAGCCAACTTTCTGCTCACATGGCCGGTTTTCCCATTTAGCATATCTTCTGGGATTTAGTACTGCACAAAGATTCTCAGATTCAGGAGAAGGGCTTCCTTCATAAAATAGAAAAAAAATTACGTTTATGTATCACAGCTTTTACACCAGCAGCTGAAAGAACAATTTACCTTCAGCTTTTTCATGTGTCAATGATGGGCACATTACTGCATTACCACAACTATTTTTCTACTGCAGATAAGGAAATGCCATTTCAAATAACCTATCAAAACATTTCTTTTGATGTTTGTTACATAATTCACATTTTCTGCTTTTTTTTTTTTTTTTTTGCAGAATTACAGCCAAAAAGTAAGGGAGTTCTATGAGTTTTGTGGGAGTGGTCAACTTGCATAGAAGAGACATGTCATCCCGCATTGGTGGAAAAGTTGCAGTGCCTCTCTCTCCTTTCACCCCAACTGTTTTATCAGCCTGTTCAAAGGTGTCAGTTAAGAAATCTATTAAGAAATACACTGCTTACAACCAGCTGCAGCACAACTGATGTTCTTGTGCAGTCAGTAAACAGTGGACAGAAGATTCTGGACATTGAGCAGTGGCCAGCAGGGTGAGAGAGGTGATAATTTCCCTCTACTCTGCCCCTATTAGGGGGTCTGGAGTATTACTTCCAGGCCTGGGGCCCCTGGTACAAGAAAGATATGGAGCTGTTGGAACAGATCCAGAGGGGGCTATGAAGATGATCAGAGAACTAGAGCCTATGAGAAAAGGTTGAGTGAGCTGGCCTCGGAAAAGGCTCTGGGGAGAGCTCATTGCAACCTTCCAGAATTTGAAGGGAGCTTGCAAGAGGAGAGTGACTCTTCACATGGTCTGATAGCAATAGCACAAGGGAGAGTGGCTTTGAACTAAAAAATGTGAGATTTAGGTTAGACATTACGAAGACATTTTTTACTTAGAGGGTGCTGAGACACTGACACCGCTGCCCAGAAAGCTGGGAGCACCCCACCCCATCCCCAGAGGTGCTCAATACCAGGATGGTCAGGCCCCAGGCAGCCCAACCTGATAGTGGCAGCCCTGCCCACAACAGGAGGTTGGGACTGGGAAAGTCCCCCCCAATGCAAGCCATTCTGTGAGTCTGTGACTGAAGTGATATCTGGCCTGCTGCAGTAGTGATGCTGTACACAGACCATAGAAAATCAGAGCCTCCAGTTTCACAACCCATGAAACACTGTTTTGTACACAGTTTGAAGTCAAGACACAATTATATTAACAGAACTACATGGTAACGAGCTTAAAGACCTCAGATACATCCATGAAATCAGAGAGCACATTCTGAGCTAATTTTCTGGGGGCAGAAACACAGTAAGTCAGTATCTTTTAAGAAAAGATACCCAGATAATGAATTCCGTAGATGTGAAGAGAGAACATAAGAACTCCAGAAGTGTGGGATGCTTGGCTTGAGAGCCAACTGTTCCTCTTATCTGCAAGGCTTGAAGCATTGCACTAGCTGACCATAAGGTCCTCTACTAGACTTAATGCTGGGCTTTCCTCCCATCTGCTGTGCCGTACGAAACTAGAAGACACAAGGACCCTTTGAAAGGGCCAGAATTGGAGTATATGCACAGTTATCCAGCATTTGCTTCAAATGTTACCATGACAATCATTAGGAGATCTTCAAAGATGAACTGCCATTGTTGTGAATTCTATTTACAGCCTCTCTCGAATTTTAAAGTGGAGAGAAGAAAGGAGGAGAAGTGTAGAAGTTGAGGACTGAGATCACTGACAGCTGAGTCCTTGCAGGTTAAGTGTCTGATAACCCCACAAGAACTGGAGAGGCAGTCCTAGTATGCTACTATAAGGACAGGCAATAGCAGATATAGCTGCTCTAAAATCATCTTGGATTGCAAAAGAAAAACAATAGTCACAATCCAGCAATAAAAAGGGAATTGCCTATCCCTTTCCAAGGATCAGGACTCACCAAACACTCCAGCAAAAGCAATCTCAGAATAGAGATGCATCTCTTGTAGTTGCCAGCCCTTAAATGAGGTTAGGGAGGGGTGGACCCAGGGTGAATTGCTTCCACCTACGTTTCCAGGGCTGGCAATGTCCCTTCACCAGGTGCTCTATCACTGGTTCAGGCAGTGACCTAATGGTTCCCATACAGCTAGCACACAACTAGTGCTTTCCTAGACTTTCACTATACGTGAAAGGACAGTAATTAATATACATTCAACATTGTCAGGAAAGATTAGTTCTAAAAACTGAAAAACAAAACAAACAAACACAACAGTAATTATTACCTGGTGCCCAGTTAAAGTATCTGAAGGGAATACCACCACTCCACTGCCACCCACTGTGGAGATTCAGACTGTTCAATCCAATCCAAAGAGGTGATCTGTTGCTGTCAATGAGATCTAGGGAACAAAAAGAACTGGAATTGTTATTAAATGTTCTGCAATGTCAAATTTTGAAGGAGGATAATAAATATATGCTTAGCAGTTTTGAAGCTCAGTACAGAATTTGTGCTTAAAAGTAATACATTCAGAGACTCCATTCTGCAGTTGACATGCAAAAGGCTAGGTTGCATATTACTTCATTTGACTTTAATGCTGTTCTACTGTTACGTGTAAACAGTAACCTTTAAAAACTTGAAGATTTAATTGCAATTCATATTTACAAGTTCATTTAAGTTTAGTGCAATTAATACAGGGCCTTCTTCCTCCATAGTCTCCACATGAAGTTCTTCACTAGTATTTTGTATAAAATTTGTGTGTAATTTTAAAAAATCTATTTCATTAGGTCTTCATGAAGAATACTGATTTCTTAACACAAAAACCATATACTTACTTCTTACTATAATAACTATCCTTTTGTAAGGCCCTTCTCTCAGACTGCTATGTTAAAGTTTTCTGAGCTTGATCCAAGTCTTGCTTAACTAATTGGAAATTCTTAACTTATTATAAAAAAAAATATAGAAATAATTTAAAATAACAATCCCACAACTTTTTTAAGTTTCACTTTTAAAAAACATAATTTATAGTAATTTTGATACTTCTCTGGCAATACAGATACTAATATTACATTACCTACTCACTGTAATGTGATTAAAGCACCAAAATATTTGCAATCAGTCAAGAAGTCTTAAAACTCTTTTTACTATTTGATGCTCTTTTTACTGCTTTTTTGTTCACCTCTCAGAAACGTCTGTTCATGTATCTCTGTGACACTTAATAACTCTGCGTTCTGCTGCTTGCAGCTCTGCCTTGCTTGGTGCCACGTGAGAGCTGACTGGAAGTTTATCTGGTAGAAGGTTCCTGTCAAGGGATCTGTATTCCAGAATTTGTCATTGTCACTGCCTATGTGAGAAAAAGATGACTTAATACTGCAGTTTGTTAAAAACATCCTACAAAATGTTATAATAATATATAACTACAAGATTTCTCATGAAATTTGAACATTTTGGGTAAATAAGCCTCAATTCCAAAAAAACATACCCTTCATTTATTGTGCTCTTTGTTAAATAAAAGGGGGTTTGCCATTGACATTAACAGAAGTGAGCTTTGATTCTTTAATTTCAATTTTTTCTGCCAAATCCTCTTCAGGTTTAAAAAAAAAAAAAGAGACTAAAGAAACCAATTGAGAAAAAAACAACAACAAAACTGGCTTGGTCATTATCTGCACTAAAAAGCTTTTCAGCAGCTCATAAGCTATATCTGAATGAATTATCGGTTGAAATGTGACTGAAATGAAAATATTTCCAATTATGGAAACTTTTCTCCTTAATTTATGCCGCCATTAATTCCATTTTTAACAAAGTATGCCCTATTTCTAGACTGCATGGGTCATTTCAACTTCGAAATTGTTTTTTTGAGAGCTGTCTGTTAGCAAAACTTCTCCCTGAATATGCACTAATAAGTTGTACATTCACATTCTCTTCTGTCAAGAAAAATGGCTTTCTTCAACCATTCTTTAGAATAAATGTTTTATTTATTTTCAGTTGTGTTTCTTGCTGTTTTTTTTCTATTCTGAACATTCTTTTTTAATTCAAGACCCAAGTGTACTGATTACACTGTCCAACAGTTATATAATACCAACTTCTTCATGCATTCCCATCTATATGGTAAGAATGTTTTGCCATTTTTTATTAAGGTACTTCATGCAAAAATTGCAAGAGGAAATTATTTTCAGTGTTGTCAGTGAAAAACACGTTGGTGGTTGGCAGTTGATAATGAATAGAATCAGATTTCACCCATCTACCAAATGGCAAATGTGGGTCTACAGTAGAGCAAAATAAGGACTGAGGCAGCATTTTCAGTAACTATATATTTTAATGCCCTTAATTCTGCTCACAGATGCACTACATTTACCTACAGCTTTCTGTAGTAGATCATGAGGCAGAACACAGAGAAGTTAGTTAGGAAGCATGACAGGAGAAAGCTGTCAATGGCCATTCTAGTAAGATCTGAGACAGTTCTTTTTTGCTTTTCAGAAAAAAACCTGCCTCTTTCCACAAACTGTTTATCAACTTTGTGATACAGAACGGGAATGATGATATCACATGAACTGATATCACAAGTGGCAATGAGACTAGGATAATTAGACTCTGAACAGCTTCTCGATTTTCAGATGCTTTAGCTAAATACAGTCACATCTAAAGCCTACTTGTCTCCTCCCAGCTGTTAGCTATATAATGACACACCCCAGCAACTCCAGCTTGACAGTAGTCCCTCAGGATTTTTTTTTTTTTCTGTAAGGAAGATTATGATATGGCATAGATATTTCTTAGTAAAATAATGCAACTACCATAGTTCTCCCTTCCGTGTTAGTAACATAATTCCAATATTGCTATATTTACCTAATAGTGTTGCATTACAGCACCTACATCAGCATTTAGGACTTACTGCCAATGGGACAGAACCCATACAAATGGTCGGTGTCAAAGTTGGGGGTTGTTGCGCACCACAGCAAGCCATCCAACCGGCCAGCATCTGTGCACCCTGCGTACCACTTCCCATTCAGCTGGAAAGGGAAGGTGCATGGAGCTCCATGGGAGTTTCCTAGCAGCGTAAATAGATCTACAGGGATAAAACAAATGATAATACAGGTGTGAGAATCTCTATCCATCACTAGTCTCCAAAAATTTTGCAGAGAAAGTATTCCACATGTTATGTTAGCGTAACTGCAGACCTACTGCCATCAGCAGTCTTTCACAAAAGCTCTGCATAGATCTTGCAATTTACCATTGTCTCATGAAATCACCATCTGTAACAACTGGAAATAAGACAATTTTGTACTATAAAGAGGAACAGTTTTTGTCAAATAACATGCTATTTTTAGAAAATTATTTTTTTTTCTTCAAGTATGTTAATTTCCTGCCATCCCATATAAATTAGTCATTTATTTAATTGTTCGTTGTATTTTTTTTATTTTTTTTTTAAATCATCTGAAATCTTGTGGAAGAACAGAATGGTAGTGTGTATGGAATTATTTGTTTGCATTTACTATTGGAGTATTAATCTTAAAAGTTTTTTGTCTTTTATCCAAGATCATTAATGAAATGCTTAGTTTAAACTTAACAAAAAATAGGCTAGATACTCATTTGTTTTGAAAGCAAATAAAAAACTGCAACTTTCTGCACATATGCTGTATTCTGTCTGAAGCCAAGTATCGTTATATCTCAGGATGGAGGAATGTGACTTGTGTGAACTGATTGTCTTCCAGTCCGCCATTGCTTAAAAGGGAGCAGCTGCTGTTAGATTACAAGGAGTAGAAATAAAAGGGCCCTACTTGTGGTGGCAAATGAACACAAGACACTGTCTGGATTAACCTTCAAACTTTACCTTTATAGTCCTGAGAACACAAGTCATCCATGGTTCCATAGATCTTCCATTTGTTCATTGTATCTGATCCCGAGTCCAGTACAATATTATCTTTCTTTCTTTTACCAACACTGAGAAATAAGTCCTCTCCATGGATTGCCAAGGTTGAGTTTCTGCAGCCCCATTTTTGGAATTCACTTTCTTTGTTGCAGGGATACAAAGAAATTTTAGCCTGGTCTTGCTTGTAGCGCACTCCCAGACATTGTGCAAATGCCACACTCATCACCTGGTGGTCGGACACCCACCTGAATTTCTGTAATTCACTGTTTTTTTTGCAAGCAGCTATTGTGACTGCATGAGAACTCTGAGCAATTAGGCACAGTTTACTATCCTCATTATATATTAAAAATATTTCATTGTCTGTAAAAGAAAATAATAAGAATTAATGTGTGAACAAATAGTAAGGGGAGCTTATGAGGAAAAGGATATGTTCTGCTGCTGCTTCTATACTGGTCTCCTGACTCACGTCATGTGACTTGGAGTTCTGAGTCACTTCTGCGAAAAGTCAGACAGCATTTTCAAGACTTTTCCTTCTGAGATAGAAAAATGCATACAACTCATGTAAATACAATACAAGGGAACAAGAGAAAGTAAATTATATCCAGACATTGTTTCCAAAATGTTGTCAGTGTAATGGAATTTTCATAAGTATAATGGATTTTATTTTTCCATATGCATCCCAAAACATATATGTATTTCGTGATTTGCAAAATAAACCTCACTGAAGATTCAGAAGTTTGCCATCACTCTGTGCACAATGGACTTAAATCTTCTTACATACATCTCCAACTGATTGCACTTGTGTTAATCCAGTTAATGAGTGAGCCTCCTGCGACACCTCCCTTCTTTGGTAATTGGCACGTTCTGCTATTTTTTCAATACGAAGGACAGTGATTTGTAATCTTGCCCTGTTCTAGTATCTTCTCATTTATACATTTAACATAAGAAATCAATACTATTCAACATAATAAATCCCATGCAAATTCTCACAAGAACAAACACTGAGCAGTGTGTGGCAGTAAAGATACTATACATGAGTCTGCGTTTCTATGCTCTACCAGATTAAGATAATACACTAACACTAAACAAGATAGTTAACGCTCCCAAAGGATTATGGGCAGCCTAAGTCAGTACTCCACCACAACTCATGGGTCTTGCTGGTAAAGGTTATCTGCGTTGCAGTTGTACATCTGTCAACATATACAGCAGTTATTCAGTTGCCTGTAAACAGAACTGCCTGCTTTTCATAATGTCATATAACTCCCACTAGTTTTGGCTAACAAGGGAGAGAAGCATCATCTACAAGGACTGTCCTAGGATTTACGGGACAGGAGGGCAAAGCTTTGCCCTTCAGTACTTCACATCTTTAATTCTGCAGTGAACAGAGATGCAGCATCCCTCTGTTATTTGTCTGAGAAAGTAATTGCATAGGGGACTATACCCTTCCAAACACAAAAGCAAATTCCTAAGACAGGGTAGGATATTAGAATACTGCCGGTATTGAGAACAGAACGGAAAATGTCTTAAGAAATTCTGATTAATGAACTGTTGATAATTTTTATTATTTTTTATTATTATACCTGCATTTAATGTTCTAGCTCTCCTAAGGTCCAGTGTAACTTATAACAGTTTAGTAATTTATTAAAGCTTCACTTCTTCAAACCTAAATTAAGAACTAAGACATAGTTACACATTCAAGCAGTAAACTGTAAGTTGGATTAAATCTTTTAATTATTACATCTAACTACTACAGAGCATAGCATAGTGTACTAAATTTCAGCTATTGTCCCCAACCTGACTTCCAACTTTGCCCTATTCTGATCTTTTTTTCATTTTAAAAGTGAACCAAAGTCTTTAATAGCATCTTTCCTAAACTTCTGAGAACTGCTCCAGTTAGAATGAATATGACACGCAGGATAGCTGCATAAGAAAATCTTTAAGAACTTGAGAAAAAAGCAAGAGAACAAAACCTCTCACTTTCACATCTATTTTTGCAGGAGATAAAAGACAACTACTCACCAAGTGCCAGAAAATGAGTAGTAACAAAAGAGAAGAAAATTAAGATTGCAGAAGTCAAGTATTTCATTCCTTTCTTCTTAATCACAAAGAGATAAGCTTAATTGCTGCAGTAGAAATCTTAAAGGAACAATTGGCGCTGGGTCCTTCTTCGCTTTGGAGAGTTTTGTATGACAGACAAAACTTGATGCTAAATAAGGAAATATCCTGTCACGTGATATTTTTGAAATATATAAACAATTACAGAATTCAGACTTTGCATCTGAAACTTCATTTTCAGTGACAAACAGGTAAAAATACAGTGCCATAATTTTACATGAATTTGACTCAGGAGAGCCAATACAAATTAGCCAAATCTTCACAAATCTTTCTGTTAACCAGTGATTTTAACAACAAAGCAGTTTGCAAATGTACAGAACGTAAATGTACACTTAGAAGAGTAGCATGGTTAGAATAGTATTTCACAGGTTTTTAATTAGAAAGATTATCCCGGTGGAAAGAGACAATCAAAAATGAAATGCTCACTTGTGTCCTAGGCCAGCAGTAGAAAACTTCAAAAGGAGAGATCTCCAAAAAGAGATCCTTCCCAAGTGGCAGTCAGCCCTTAAATGGGGTCTAGGAGAGCTGCAGCCAGGCTCCACCCCTTCTGGTCACACAGCTGAATCACCTTCACCTGTGCTCCCATGGCTGACTCAGTGCTTGCCTCAGGTGATCAATCAGTGGTTCAGGCTGTGACTCAACAGTTGCCTTTCAAAAGTATTTAATCCATAAAGTATGAATGCATTTTAACACTTAAAAATTTGTTTCTTGCACCAAGTGTGAGACAAACAGCGAGAAATAATTTCAAAGAAATGAGCTGTAACCCTTTATTAAGAGGAAATCAAATTTAGCCATGGTGTTAGGAAAAATAAAATCCTTTGTTTTGAAGAAAAAATATCCAGCAGAAATTGCCTTCAGAATTTCTCATACTTTTTGCAGCTTGGTTATTAAGACAAATTCATAATATATTCTGCAAAGCTAAAGTGTCACTTAATGTACGAGAAGAAAACCATTTATAGCGTACAGAGATGTGTTACCAATATCAGCTATCAAAATATGACAATTATAATGACATTATTTTTTATAGTTATGGGGGTTTTATTCATTTGCTTACAGTATATTAATGGCCATCAAGCAGCACTTGACGGCCATTAATCAGTGTCAGTACTTAAAAAAAGATAAACATGGGTACATGTTGTAATTTATACAAAGGAAAAAAATGTGCAAGATGAAGGGGACTTGGTAAAAATATCTCAAACACAGAATACCCTTCGTTCCCTGACCTCTGCAATATTTTTTGTTTGACAGCAACATCTGCCAGCCATGAGTCACGGGCATCTTTCCTTCCCAATGACCTCTCTTGGACAGTTCTTATGACCTTTTCAAGGGTCTGTTTTCCCCAGAAATCTTTGAAATCTTTTTCCTTTCATTTTGCAGTTAGCCATACACATGGAATTTAGAGACAACAGCACAGTAATCCTGTAAGGCAGCATGCTGCCAATGCACTGCTCTATGCTCTGCTCCTTGCTGGGCTGTTTTCTCAGGAGAGGCATGGACACAGTGTCCTGTCTTCAGCTCAGTCAGAGAGCTGGAGGATAATAAGAGAAGACATCCAAAAATGAGCTGCCAAGTGAAATAAAAACAGGAATAGATTCTACCAGCTTTATTTGCCACTTATGTTATTTTATGGCTTATTTATTTCTTCTTAGTTATACGACTTGTTTTTATGTTTCTTCCTGTTAGCCTCTCAAGGTTAACAACACATTCAATCACCAATCAGATAACATCTCCTTATGCTAATTCAACAACACTTAAGTACCATTACATAAGATATAGATCTTTTATTTATAGATTGACCGATCCTTTGTAGTCTCATAGTTAATGCAAAATATCCAAAGTTGTAGGGTATGTCTAATCTAAGTTGGAGCCATGAATGAAGGACAGATATCTCACGTACAGATGCTCTATAGTGCTTAACCCATACCAAAAGAATAATTGCTGCTTTAGTTCAAGTTGTATGTTGGTACATGTAACTTTTACTAAGATTTATTTGTTCTAGCTAGATTACTTTTTAAGCTTGGATTTATAGAGTAGCTGTGTTATCACATTACACAGCACTGTGTTCACTTCCTCTGCTGCTGGCAGGATCATCTTCATTGTTCTCTCTGGCCGGGGCACTGCTGTACTCCAGCAGCATGCTGTGCTGCCCCTCTGCTCGTTCAGCCTCACTCTGGATTTTGATCTTGAAGAAGAAATAAACCATGATGCCCATGCCTACTAAAATGACGAGAACCAGAATAAGAAGTATCCAAACAGTGCTCTGATCATTGTCCTGGCCACCTATAAATAAATATAAAGCAAGTAGAAGTAGGTCTACTTATATCCATAAATAAATATGTAAACTTCTAAAAAAATACAGGTCTAATTTTCCCCGTAGTTATTGTGGTGTTAATCAGGAACCCAAGCTTATGAAGGAAGTGGAAGATAATCTCAACATCCCTGGTCTTCTTCCACTGCCCTCTTAGGTAAAGAAGCTGTGGTCATTAAGATGTAAGTACTCTCATATGCTTTTTCATGATAAGAACTATATTAGAAAATCTAGTGTAGTGTCATTGTGTCAGTTACTTCAGCATGCAAAAGAAGGAGAAAACAGAGGAAGATCATTTTACATAAGCATTTACTTTTCCTGAGATGCTGTGTGTCTCCCAGATAGTGCTAAGCGTTGCTGGTAGTGAATTCAATGGCAACAGTAAATTAAGCCCACATAAATAAATATATAGAAGTCAAGTAAATTATAAGTGCCCATTCATTAAAAAGTATTATTTCCACATCTCCTTGAAACTACTGGGAAGGAAAAATACAGCCTACCTTTCACATTTGCAACTGCTTCAGGAACAGCTGTCAAAAAGAAAGACAGATGTTTAGTCAAAAGCACGTTTCTATCCAGACAGTTCACGCTCAGCACTTCACTGCATCTCCTAGAAGCATGTTTGCTAAATTAATGAAAATGAAAGTGCGTTAACAATCTTAACCTGATGTTCACTCTAATGAAACTACATGTTTTACATTTTAAGCCTTCTTGCCTCTTTTTCAACCAGGTACCTTCTGAGTGTCAGACAGGCTCTCCTTTGGTTGATCCATCTTGTCCTCTTTACTAGGTCTGCATGCCAGCAGGCCAGAAACAGCTTGATCATTTGATGATGATATTTGACAAACTCTCCCTGTTTGCCTGTGCTACTTTCCGGTCTCTACTTTACCCCTTCCTTACTCCATGCCATCAGGGAGGGGATTTATTGTTAATCTTATCCTATATCTGAGTGGGAATATTCCTTCTAATAGATCAGGCAGAGCTGTGCTGACAGGAAGGCATATACCCTTTGTCCAGGAAATAGCCAAGATCCTTCTCTGGAGCCAAGCAAACTTTTTTTTTTTTCTCTACAGACTGTCAGATATTGTTTAAAAGAACAAACTACCAGTAATTTTTAAGCATGTAGTTCCTATGAGACCCAGCACATTCTGACGTACCACAACCCATCTGCATCTGCAGCCACATTTAGCGGCTCAGGCTTTCCTATGCAGTTGTTCCCAGCTGTGCTAAGAGAGCACCACGTGAAAGAGATGCCAGTGGGAGTGGGGTGGTGTCAGCACTGCAGGCATGAGGAGCTGAGCACTGTGCACAGTGAGCTCCAGGCTGTTAGCAGGCAGGAGAAAAGCAACTGTTAAATCATCTCTTGGAAGGATGCTGAGCTCTCTGTAGTAAAATGTTTGCTTGTTCCGAATAACCACTCTGCTGGAGAGCCTGGCGGCAGGGATATGTGCTGGCATTGTTTTTGCATTGCACTTGAGGGCCATTCACTAATAAACCCAGCCAACAAAATAAGTGTAGATGCTGAGTGCATGCATGCTACTACAGCTGATAACTAGGAACTAACTTTCTGCAGTGACTTTTCCTCTAGTTGCTCAAAGAATACAAGGAATTGCCTCAAAAGAGGAATTTTCCTTTTTTGAAAATGCTCTGCCATCACTACCAGTGTGTACAGCTGCCTTCCTCACCAGCTGCAGCTCTGCTTAGGGGAGAGGGCAGAACCTCGGAAACCCCAAACCCTGGGTTTGCGAAACAGAGCAGGAAATAGTACTGTTGTTTTTTTCTTCTTCTTCTTCTTCTTTTTTTTCTCCTGTGGAATTAACAGTAAAAGTCAAAAATACCACATGGCTCTTGGCTCACTATATTCTGATATTTCTGCTTCCTGACCAAAACAGATGGTGCTCAATTACATAGAAACACAACATTAAAAAATAAATGCTAACCAAAACACTTCTACTATTTTTAAAGGTCACTATACATCCTCTGGATTCTGCTTCCGTTCTGTTATTATTGAAATGGAATTGCTTCATCTATCTGTTGCTGGAACAGTGTGTAATAGTACAGAAAGAGGAAGAAAAGCAAATTATTGATACAAGTCTTGTTCCATAGCAAAGGTTTGACTTCAGAAGGAAAGAGTGTGTGTTTATCGGGGGGGAGCAAAGCCACAAAGAGTTTAACAGTTTTACAGAAAACATTGATTCTCTTTAGTTATGAACTGAAAATTCATTACAGAACGTGAGAAAATCTGAAGTTATAATGCAATGAAATATGATGAGGCCTCTACTTGTTTGTAACGCTTTTTTTCTGAATGTTCAAATAAGCAATAAGGAAAAGTCCATAGACCATTTTATGTGAATTCTCATGTGCTTTTTATAATAAAGACATTGTGTGTTACTACTACTACTAACAGAATAACATAACATCAAAAGCATATATTGAATTAGTCACTTACTCTTTGGTGTCTTACAGATAAACCCCTTTCTGGAGGAGCAAGGGATGCTATTCCAGGACCCAGAGGAGGCAGAGAGCTGCACGCAGTACTCATTCTCACGCTGCTCTTCCAAGGGCTCTGCTTCAGCCCAGTTGACAAAGTCCAATGCACTGTTGTCTTGCCAGAGCAGCTGCCCTGGTGTTGCAGATGTTTTAGCAGTACCAAACATTACACATCAAAGATCTTCACTAATATTTGTTTTCCTCTATTGATTAATTTACTTGGCCTAATAAAGTGATACCACTTGCATCATTTTGTGACTATTTTATAATGTATTTTCTCTTATTCTATCCTTAAAAACAGCGTAATTGCTTCTCAGTATAATTATTTAATTTTTTCCATTTGTGAAGCCCAACAGAACTCTGGCCAGACATCAGCAGTGCAGGCACTGCCCAGTCAGGAGCATGCTGAAATCTGGAAGACATTCCCACTCAGAGCACAAAGAAAGCAAGTGAGAATATTCCTTCTAATAGACCAGGCAGGGCTGTGCTGGCAGGAAGGCAATAGCCAAGATCTTTCACTGGAGCCAAGCAAACTTTTTTCTACAGACTGTCACAGATATTGCTTAAAATAACAAACTACCAGTAATTTTCAAATATATATTTTTGTTTGTCTTCACCTAGAATTAGTTCATCAAAAGCAAAAATATATCTAAATCATATTTCCATGTACTTAATGAATCCTATTTATAACTACATATAGAAATTAGAATAGTTACCATTTATATTTCTGTA